TCTTCTCCTCGCCACCTTATTTCGCGCGTAAATCAAACTGTGGGAGCGATATCGGCCCCAGACGCGCCGCTGTCCGTGGGGGAGAGGCTCGCGCGCGGGCATCGCCCGGCAGTCTTCGGCCAAACGGTCGTTCAGCAGAAGGCCTGGGCGAGTCCGTCCTTCCGTCGACTCGGCGACGCGGCGCGTCGATGACGAGGGCAGCGCGCGCGGCCGAGAAGTCGAGTTGAGCGCCACTTGGGAGCGGCATTCCAGCGCGCATGCACGTGTGTGCAACGGCCCGAGCGGAGAGCGAGATCGGCGCTGCGCTCGCGAGCAACTCGACGCTTTATATGCAACGCGTCGCGCGCGCTAAATAAAGTGGACCTTCGAGCTCGCGGCAGAGATTCGAACGAGAGGAGAGCCCTTACAGTTGCGCGCTCGCGACCCTCCATGTTTATGCCCCGTCCGCCGGGCGGCGTCGCTGCGTTTGGCTGCGAGGCTCCGAGCCAACCAGTCGGAGCGCTGTTATTGCGAGCTCGTAATCGAACGGTTTTAGCCGCTTGCGCGCGCTTCACAATGGAAATCCAGTTTGTCCGAGGGAGCCAAATAGCAAAGGCGTCCCAGCGTTCGTTCAGCTCAATCTCTCGTTTGCACGCGATGAGCGATGCCCGCAGCGATTCGGCTGATTTGCGGATGAGCATGTCATTGGGCGCAATTAGTGGCATCGACTGCACTCGGCGTGCAGCGATCCGTCCAATTTCGTTGAGCCGTTGAGCTGTTGAGCTGCTCGGTGAGAGGGACCGATGCAGACTGGCCTGTTGAGATGTTATCGTAGAGCGCGTTCGACACCTGAAAGAAAAAAGGGAAGATCGAACCGCAGAGATAGAAGCGCACGCAACAGCTGCTTTTCGAGCTACTTACAAATAAATCTCTATCCTAATGCTGACGTAACAGCGGCTTTCAACACTCTTTGCACACACGTCCCTGCGGATTGAGTTGTAAAACAGGCCTTGTCTTTTTATTTCAAGCCACTCAAGGTCCATTTCCCATTGCTCGCTCGACGTCCGACGTCCTCCTTATCAATTGTATGCGAGTGTGTTTGTCGCGCCAAAGTGCAGACACTCGACAAAAAACTGCTCCGCAGAGCAACAAAAGGGGAGAGAAAACTGGTATATCTTGGAAGGTGCGAATTTTTTGACTTGCGGTATTTTTCTCTCTCTCTCTCTCTCTCTCTCTCTCTCTCTCTCTCTCTCTCTCTCTCTCTCTGAAAGAAGAAGAAGAAGAAGGGAAGAAGAAGAAGAAGAAGAAGAAGAAGAAGAAGAAGAAGAAGAAGATGGAGACTGGATTTTTGCTCGTTAATTCCTTTTGCTCGAGCAACGAAGTAAAAGAAAAAAAAATGTTCTTTTTTTATTCCAAAGCGTGCTCGGTAGACGAGAATATCTTGACGCTTCTTCTTCTTTCTCTGCTGCTTCGGCTGTCTCATTGCTCCTTTTTATTTTATTTTTTTGTGTTTTGCTGCTGTTGCTGCGGCGGTAGAAAGGTAAAAGGAGAACGAACGATTCGCGGCAAAGTCGTTGTTGTCGAGTAAGACGGAGTGGAGCATCGGAAAAGGAAAAAGAAATAGATTAGCGATTGTTATTTTAGCGATGAGCCGAGTTCAGGATTTCTACGACAAGAAGTAATTTGGATTGTAATGATGATGAAGTTTACTAGGTTTTTTTGTTTCTTGCGCTCTTTGGAAAGCTTCGAATGTTAGAAATGACCGACTGAGTTGAACGGATCATAAGAACCAAATGATTTTCAGCAAGAAAAGATATTGGAAAATAAACTTGGTATGAGGTTGGAAATGTCAAGCTGTCGACAAACACTCGCTTTAACAGGACAGTGATAAAATGGAGACGCGTTTGGTTGTAACTGCGGCGGAAAGTCTCAAATCAATAGTTATCAAGTGCAGAAAAAGGAGAAATTGAGTACAAGTATAAATGAAAGATTGGAGTGAAGCGAAGACTCGGAGAACGGAGCTAATTGAAATATCGATAAACAGTGGCAAGAAAGCCATCTCGGCCAATTAACGTTCAACAAGACGAAGCAAGAAGAGAAATCAGGGCATTATGATGGCAAGGCTCTCGTCAATGGCTTCTCTCTGCTCGGCGTCGATTCGTAGAAGTGGCTTAATTAGCAGCGTCACCCTGCCAGTGGCGGATGTGTGCGCGCGCAGCTTCCGTAATTAGAAGCTTAGAAGCTTTCTCGAGTGCAACAAAGATGCGGGTCAATTAAAATGAAAGAACATAGCTGTGAGTTTGGGCGATAAGGTGCGCGCGACGAATGCAAATGGGGGCCGATAAGCGACAATTCGGTGCCGCGCGTGTATCAAAAGGAACGGACGGACGTTGCTCGTCGGCCGACTGCCTATATTAGAGGCCCGACTGCAGCTGCGAATCTTTCATTTGGCAGTGGGCAGCGAGGATAAATTAGCCGGGACGGGGAGGTGCAACTGGAGAAGATTGGTCCGTTTCCAGTGGCTTTCGGCGGTCTTGAACGTTTTCAACGTCGTCAGAATCGACGCGCAACGGCGCTAATGATGTCAAGCCAGAGTCGGGCTAGCTGCTGAATGGCGCGTCTAATGGCTCGTGTTTTATCGGGCGCGAAATTGAGCGCGCCGTTACGCGGACGATCCGCCCTCCAGTTAATCCCGGCCTGGAAACAATAATTTTTGGCCGCTGCCCGCAAATGAAGCTCGCAAAGCAGCTAAATGACAAGGCGCGAGAGATACGAGATACGAGCTGCCGTTCTCCCTTCGGGCGCAGCCTCGACCAAGACGGAATTGCCGGCGCAGAGCAATTCCCGAGACAAATATATCCTCGCTGCCTAATCTGTCGCCAGCGCGCAAAAGCCTCCTCTAATTAGACGACTTTGCAATGCTCCGTGCAGTGCTCTTCTTGCGCAAGATAACAAGCAATCGATAGCTCGTCCAACGATTAGCATTTCAAATGCTTTGGTTGGCTTTGGCCGTCGCAGCGAACTTGCAGATATCGCGCGTATAAATAAAAACGGGCCCGGGCACAAGTGGATCGGCAAACTTTGTATATGTAAATCATCAATTAAAAGAGCCGGTGGGCGCGTCGGTAGGGCAGCATTGTGTGTCGCCGCAGTATATTAACACGCGCGCGCCGCGTTATTTATTCGCACCGCCAAAGAGGCTTTCGCTGGAGGCTGCCCAGCTCGGTGGTTTTTTTCTTGTTGGCGCTCCGTCGCGAGGACGCGGCGCAGCGTGAGACCAACGCTGTTGAAACGCGCCGCTTCTTTGGCGACAGCCGGTTGGAATGCAGCTTCATAATTCACGCCGCTGTTGGCTCCCATTAATCGGTCGACGCCGAGCGATCGGCGCTCAAGCTCCGAGCTGCAAGCTCCGAACGGCCGTCTTCGGCGGGCCAGCGAGAAAATGCGCGAAAATGGACCGATCGGTGGTAGGTGGCTCGTCGCGCGTCGACCGGCGCATTCGAACGAGGCGGCGGCCTGGCTGTCTGGCTGCTCCGCACAAAGCCGTAAGCCGTCTGCTGTTTGCGAATACTCGGCGCGCGTCCCGGTAATTGCTGTGTTTGGAGGGCTGCGAAGTTGCGCGGGAATCGGCCGCGATGCCCTTTGTCGCCCGCTGGACAATGAGCTGGCGCTCTTTAACTGGATTTCAATGGGCGCGCCGATAAATATGCGGGGAAGGGCTTCGCCGCACAATTAGCCGTGGCCTGCGATTGACTGATCTGCTCGGCTTCTTATCTCGCCGGTTTTTTCATTCGCACGAGCGCAGCCATTAGTCAACGTCGGGCATAGCTATTGTCGCGGACAAAGTTTATCGCGCGCCGGCCAATAAATACGAGGAGACAAAGTGGAAAGGAATGCGTATCTGTGCCGTCCCTTGGAAGAGTATCAATTGATCAATGGGTGCGCAGCTCGGGGGGAGAAAAATGCGCTCCCATTGAAATTCGCGCGCGGACAATGAGAGTATCGGAAACAAAAAGGGATGCGCGGCGCGGCCAAGGCTCGCGCGAGCCAGGCGACCGCCAGAAGAAGCAGAGAGCGAGTTTAGGAAAGCTTTTCGGCGAATATAAAAACCCCCTCTCTGGCAGCACGTTGCGCTGCTCGCCACCCCCTCTCGGCTCTCTCAAAGGGAGAGAGCGAGAGAGAGAGAGAGAGAGAGAGAGAGAGAGAGAGAGAGAGAGAGAGAGAGAGAGAGAGAGAGAGAGAGAGAGAGAGAGAGAGAGAGAGTTGACAAAGCGGCTCATGCCGGCAGCGTTTAGTACGCATCCGCATCTACGCGCGCTTACTTCGCTCCATCTCCCGTCTGCGTCGTCCATCATTGCTAGGCTCGGCTTTCTACATGGAGTGCCACGATGAGTCTCTACTTCTCCATGGACTGGAGCCGACTCGCCGGCAGTCAACGCCTCACCGGCTTGACCCTGGTTAGCCCCTTTTTCCGCTGCTGCTCGTCCTCGTGGTCTGCTCGATGCGTGGCCGCCACGTGCTCGATGCACGCGCAGGTGGCGCCGTCGCGGCATAAATCAAGTCTTCGGCAAAAGTGGCCGCTGGTCTTTCGCCGACCGAGCGATGTGCGTGCGCCGCGCTGTCACGGCGACGTGATAAATCAAGTGATAGTTGTAGTGGTGCGCGAAACTATCGGCGAGACTAGACGCGCAGGCGGCGCGGCAGTGCGGATGTTTTGGTCGCCGGCGGCCGGTGTCAACTGGCCCCAGGCGGCGGCACGCACGGCGAATAATCGAGCGCGCCAGTCTGCGCGCGCTTCGCAGGGCTCGCCGTCCCTCCCGCCTCCCGACTGCCCGCCGCCGCCCGACCGAGCCTCGAGCTCGAGCAGCGCCGAACAATGGGCCGAGGTCCGTGCGCGAAAGCACGTGCTCGCGCGACACGAAGCGCGCGTGTTTTCGCTCTTCCTCCGGGCCCGTCTCCAGCGCCCGCCTCCGAAACCGGCCGCCACGAATAATCGTTTCTGCGTGCGTTCTTTGTTACAGGTTGCAACGCGACCTTGGAGCCCGACGCAAGGCAAGCCTATGACAAAGCTGTGCAACCACAAGAGAAAAATCTTGCCGCATCCGCAGCAGCAGCAGCAGCAGCAGATAGCGACGCTCGTGTCCACGGCCAACAACCAGGTCATCGCCTCGAGCTCGGGGACCATACCCATTGGCGCGGAATCGCCTATCGACAAATCCAAACCTGGTAAGTCATTTGTTGCTGCTTTCCTGTCGCGACACCGACGTTCCGACGAGCAAATTAGTTGTGATGCCAGTCGAAAAAGCTCCAAAATCAAACATTTACGCTGGACATCGATAGGCGCAATCTGCCGACGGCCAGCGTAGCCTCTTAATTAATGATTCCTCAATTACAGCTTAACCGAGCGCGGCTGCAAATCAAGCTTGACAAAGCCTCTCCGACTCTCGGTCAACAGGCGGAGAGAGCCTTCTCCCCTCTCGACCGCGTATCTCCGATTCGCCGCGTTCGAACGATGACAAAAAGAATCCTCGAAAGCGTCAAATAAGCGCCGTGCTATAATTAACTCGCGCTCTCAAATATTTGCCTCCTTTCTTCCGTCTCTTCTCTTCATTGGCAAAGAATCATTAGTGGACGGGATGAGTCAGGCGGTGTTATCGATTAGCGGGCTTGTTCCATCCAGCAGGGCCAGAGAGAGAGAGAGAGAGAGAGAGAGAGAGGCTCCAAGCTGATTGGATTTGATATCTACCCTCGCAAGTTTTTCGTGATTGCGCCAACGGAACGATCTGCGTCTGTTGCTCTATGACGTATGTAATGCATTTATCATGGGGCGTAAGCTGCCATGTGATGCACGCGCGCGGAGACGGCTGTAATCAAATTATCGGAAAGTGCTTTCGCCGAGCGAGGCAAACTGTCGTGCAAGCTGCAGGAATGCTTAAGAATAGCAAAGTTGATTCGGAATTCGGCGTGTATCCTCGATCATGACGCGTGATGGGGGCAATCAATTCCCTCGGCGCTTCGCCCCAAAGTCGTCTCAGATTCCGCTTCCAGCTGACTCGTTGAATTTTAAATCGCCAGGCAGAGCCTCGCTCCTCGGCGCGCACCGCGAGAAGGCGGAAGAAGCGCGCCTAATAAACGACGAGCACTGCGGCCGATAAATAATAAAAAATCCAGCGCTTCAGCATAAATATTTGCAAGCTATCTGTACAACTCTGCCGGGGCGAATCCTCTTTATTTTTCACGCAGACACGCCGGGAAATTGGCCCTCGACTGGAGATTCACCCTCGGCGGTCGGTCTTTCCTCCTGCAGATTCGCTGGAGATTGGGGCCAACCGAGGCAAAACCTATCGGTCACATCCGAGCGCCAAAGTATAACGAACGCGGAACGAGAGGATATTGGTGGCTGGCTGGCTGTCCGGCCTGGCCAACAGAACGGAGTATGAAACTTTGATCGCTTGGTAACGTTATTACGCCCGCAAGAGAGGAAGACGGTTCGCGCAGCCTCGGCCGCTCTCTCGGGCAAGCAGTGCAAAAAGTGGCAGCCGATCGGTCGAGGGGCTGCTCGAGGAGGCTATCCGCGCGGCGGTAACAACGTTGTTCAGCGCTGCGCCGCGGCCTGGCGCGCCGCTCTTTTGTCAAATTGATACATTAATCCAGCGCCAGCCGCAAACAGCCGCAAACAGCCGCAAACAGCCGCAAAGAAACAAAGGCTCGCTCGCAGTGGAATTCCCGGGGCTCGAGAGAGTTAAAGAGAAGTCGGGGAAAGAGAAGCGGTTGCATGCAGCGGCTTTTCGCGATCAATCACTTAGCGGGGTGGTAGAAACACTCAGTGCGCAAGACCGTTTAAAGCCGCTTCGCCCGGGTCGCTCGGTCTCGCTGCACTTGCGCCGGCTGCGCATGTGTGCAGGCGACGCCATCCCACCTCCCTGACGCTCCGCTTCGCCCTCTTTATTTCCACTGGTCGAACGGCCCGAAAGAAAGTTTGGATTGTGCTGTCCTGTCTGGTGCCGTCTCGTGCCGTCTCGTGCTCAATGACGCCTGGCGCTCGACTCTCTCCGGGGAGCGTTATTTACGACACTCGTTCCACAGCCGCCCGCCGAGCTTCTGCTTGTCCGCGAAAGCCAAATAAGCCAAAACTCATTGTCGGCGCGATGTGTCGTCTTGGCTGCAGTCCATTCCCCCGGCCATTATGTGCCCTCGCGTGCCCGAGGACCAGAAGAAAGTGGAGAGAAGCCCTTGATCGGCGGACGGCCTGACAAAGGGCGCAAAAAAGTAAAGCTCGACTTGCGCGCCCGACGCGCGTCGCTTTCACTCGCGCACCGTAACCCTCTGCGGCCGTGTGCCGGAAAAAATGCCTACTCGTGTTCTCCGCCTGGATTTCATTTCGAGAAGAGAGACCTTTTGTGCATGCGGGCGACTTTCTTTCTTTGATTGTGCGGGTGCAAGCGAGCGCGATGCCTTTTAATAACGCGCGCTAAAGAAATGTATATATTGATAAGGGACCTCGCTCACTTGTCGAGAGCTGTGCTTTTATGCTTGTATATCAATTAGGGGCGGCGAGAGCGGCCTGCCGCCGGGGCCTCCAAGGGTGCGCCTTCTCTTTCTCCTTTTCCTTCTCTTTCTCTTTCTCTTTCTCTTTCTCTTTCTTCTTTCTTTTCTTTGTCCCGGCCTGTGCCGTCGCTGCAGCGCCCGCCATCCAAACTTAATTACCGACCATTCAGACTTTGACGGGCCGCGCGCCAATTAAGTGCGTTTCGCGCAACATTCCACCAGCGCCATTCTTTCTTTGCGCAAATGCTCCAAAGCGCCAGCTATTGTTCCGCCAAAGCCAATCAATTGCACGAGCCCTCGGACGTAAAAAGCCTCGGCCCCTCGATTATTAAAAGTACGATCGTTTTGGAAGCCGATAACTCGCGCATTAAAAGCAGCTCGCTCGAGCGCGTTGCCGCGTCAAGAGGGCGGATTCCGATAAAGCTCTGCTGCAAATCGACGTGGCTACGGTTATTTATGAGCTCGCCGAGAGAGAGAGAGAGAGAGAGAGAGAGACATTTACGGCTTAGTGCGGCGCGTACAAACTGTTTACTTGACTTTTACTGATTTTTACGCGCATCCTCGACGGATAAACAAAGATTCGGATCTTCTCTGGGCTGGATGGCCAGTTAAAAGTGAGCGGCTACGGCGGCAATGGCGAGATCATATTGGCAAGAGGCGAGAGAGAGAGAGAGAGAGAGAGAGAGAGAGAGAGAGAGAGAGAGAGAGAGAGCGAGCGATGCTGGCGGCGGCCGCCCACAGCCCGCGGCGGAGCAGAGAAGAGCTTGCGTCGGTCGGAGCCTCCCCTCAATTGGCATGCTCGTGTCTTCTTATCGCAGCACCGCGATCAATAAGCGCACAACTCGTCGTCGTCGTCGACGACGCTCGAGGTAGGAGAAAAAGAATCCTGCCGCGCACTCCCTTCTCTCTCCGGCCAAGTAGCTGCTGCTCCGGCGCTTGATTTTCGCAGAGAGGGCAGCACGCACACGCGCGCCTTCAGCGAACATTCTCTTGGATGAAAAATTCAAGGCGCGGTGGAGGTGGGGGGGGGGGGGGGCTGGCCGGCGCGCAAGCGCGTGGCTTTCAAGCTACATTATCGCCACCCCTCACTTAGCCTCTCTGCCGTGGCTTTAAGCGTCTGTGTCGACTCTCCGTGTGTGCCGCTATGCTCTCTGCGCGCGTTACTCGATATCCCGCCAGCAGCACCCCCCGAAGAGAGCGCGAGTGAGGCGACGCTTGTTTAGTCGACGAGAGGATTGCCGACTGACAGATTGATTCGGCCTTTACTTCTGCTGTCGTTTTTCGGGGGACTAGCGCGCCGGTGGATAGCACTTCCACGATTATCGCCCCCTCGCTGCTCTTCCGTTTATGAGTTATGCTGGGCACTAGATTTTTAGAGGAACGCAATCGAAATCGGAGAGAACGCGAAGGGGAAAATGAGCGATCTGCCGAGGAAAGAAAGGAAAAAGAGAAACAAGTAATCCAGCGCTGAGAAAACAATTTGGTCCCCGAGGACTGGCAGCAGGTTTCGGTCGTCGGATGAGGATAAAAAGGGATAAAAAAGCCCTCGGATATACAGACATTTGGCGCTTCTGATAAAAGAAGTGTCAAGTTATTACACGTCCGGCAAACATCAGGCTTCCCCTAATCTTCCTCGGGAACATTTGCCATTTGGTAGCACTAATAAATATCAGGTCCGATCACGTACACACACGTCCAGATAAATTCAATAAAAAGCTGACTTGCCCCCGTGCTACCGTGCTACCGTGCTACAGGCCAATATTCCCCCGGTGCGCATCTGTTACAGGCAACTTTGCAGGCCGCAAATCGTTCTCGCTCGCTCCCTCCCTCTCTCTCTCGCTCTCTCGATTACATTCTCTCTTGTTTTGCCACCACCTCTCGAGACTTGCTCGGCATCAATTTCGGACGGGCGCTTCATCAGCTCTAATTAATCTGCTTTTACCAACGCGCGTTGCTCGCGTCTTTTTACGAGCTCCTGCTGCAGGTGGGATTCAATTAACGCTCCTGGCTCTGCCGCAGCGGTTTGCCCGCGCACACTAATTAATGTAATGACGCGCGTAGCTTTTTGGCCAGCAGCATTTTTCGTGCAAAGCCTTGCTATTTGAATAAGCGCGAAGCTCGCGCGATAATAAATGGAGCGCGGGTCCAATCTAAAAAACAAGCTCCGAGAGGGATTAATTCGCAGGCGCTTAATCCTGCGCTGCGATCGAATCCGCTCTCGGTCTCTCTCGCTGCAGAATCAACAGTCCTTAATCACCGAGCCGCGGAAAGACACGGAAGACGGCTGGAGCAAGAAAAAAGAGGGAAAAGAAGGAAAAAGGCAGAGGGGCGGAGGGCGTGAAAACGCGACTGGCCATTGTTCGTTAACGTGGAAAAAGCTTTCGACCTGGCTGTATTTCGGCGTGTGTGCGAGCGAGGGTCGAGGCTTTTTGCACTTTGCCAAGGGTAGATTCATTACCGTCCTCGAGTTATCTGGCCTTAGTCGACGCCGACGACGACGAGCGCTCTGCGCCCGGAGTAATTATCTGCTGTTGGATTACAGATAAAAGAGCCCTGGTGGATTGCTATTAAAAGGCGCCTCGCGCCAAGCTTTGTTTCTCTCTGTGCGTGGCAATGGCAGTGGCCAAGCGTTATAAAAGTATAATGGCAGAGCAGCGCTTCAATGCCTTGTGTTTCCCTTTTATCGAATTGGCGCGCTTTGTTTAATCGAGCGCGCAAAAGTAAATAATCATTGACAGTATCGAATAGCGATGCTGCTAAGCAGCTGCGGCAGAACACGCGGCCGCGAGTTGCATATTGATGACGCGCATAACGGCCGAAGAGATTACGCGCGAGAGCTGGCGAATATGAAAAATGTAATGCGTACACTCGCAGACGGCGTCCGAGTCAAGTGCTGTAATTATTTGACGAGAGACAGCCAAGACCAGCCCTTCCGTTTATTATTTCATTAAAAAGTCGACATTCTAATTTGCGCGAGGCGCGGAATAATTGATGTCCGGGCCGCAGTGAGTTTGCACAGGAGCTTGCGCTTGTGGCTTTCCAGGGGATTAACGGCCTCTGCCGACATTACTCAGCGAATAGCCGGAAAATATTGTCGTACGAGGCTTCACTTTGACTGTGGGCAAGGCCTCGTTTTTGCCAGGCAATCCCTTATTGCGCGGTCGCCGCGTTGCAAAGGGCCCCGAAGCGCCGGACGATGTTCTAATCTGGCGCTTAAGCTTGCGCTCGGAGCTGCTCCTAATTCATTCGTAATGCGCCGCAGTCTCTCTCGCGAAAGAACATCGATCACACGCTGGATTCGCTAAATCGTCAGCCTTTAATCAAACCCTCGGCGAATTAGGCGTCTACCGAATCGCCTTGCCCGGTCCTGCAGATTTCACCCGGCTGCAATCTCTGTTTCTACTGTCGCAGACGGCCTCAAGAGGAAGAAGCGAAAGCTGAGCAACAACGTGTACTCGGGGGTGTCGGTGTCGCAGCTGCTGGCGCAGCGCGAGCGCGCCATTGCGGCCGCGGTAGCGGCCAACCCTGCGGCGGCGGCAGCAGCAGCCGTTGCAGCGGCAGCGGCAACCACTGCCTCCTCGCTCTCTAATGGATCGCAGGTAAATAATTGAGCGGCTCAGCCGCTCGCAGCATCCCCGACAAACCCGAGCGGGCGACACTCCGCGCTAGCAAAGTTCCGGGCGCTTTGAGTGCTGCTTCGTTCGCTGCTTCGTTCGCGACATCGATTTCTAATTCGACGCCCCCTCCAGCTTTCGCTTGAATGACGCTGCTGCTCGGAGGCTCCCCCCCCCGCTTCCCGCTCCCCGCTCCCCGCTCCCCGCTCCCCGCTCTCCGGCCAACGCGCTTGGCGGCTTTGACGCTCGATCGTTTTCCATTTCAATCGTATTCGCACTGCTCTCGGATGTTCATTAAAGACACACTCGACGAGCGAGCAGCGAGTCATCCGAGAGGACAAATCGTCAAGGCCAACATCCGATCGAGCCTGTGCAATCAATGCGTCTTTAAGTATGCACGGCAAATTGAATTCTTCCCTGGCTCGGTCGCCCGTCTCTCGGTTCTCTCGGCCCAAGCAGAAAAAGCGCCAAGTCTCGTATTCGCCACTCGCCGGTTACAATTAACGGCGTCCGCTCGCCTCGTCCTCTCCTCCCTCCATTCGACATTTTACGGACGAAAATACGATACACCGGGAGACTCGCAAAGCCGCGCTGGGCTTCTTCATCGCAATAACTTTATAATCATAATGCGAGCGACGGAAAGAAACAGGCGAGAGCGGATCGTTTGAATTTGAGTAATGGGCTTCTCCTATCAATCGGCTTTCACACCGCTTCGCGCCCACTTTCCCCGCTCGCAGCGACTTTATCGTCTCCACGGATGACGGCCCATGAATACGATAAATAATTACTTAATTTATTTTTCCACGCGTGCCTCCCTCACTGGCCAAACTGTACATACGCAATAATCATTAGACTCATTGAATTTCAAATGCATGCTAATTTTTCATTGGCCTCGGCTATCGTCGGTTGCAATCTCGCGTGTGCTATCTGCGAGCAGGCCTTGTTCTCGCGAGCGCTTGCCTTCTTATCGTCGATCGACGTTTAACAAAGCTTCAAGAAGCTTTACGCGAACGATTTTTACACGTCTCTGCGCTTTGCAGGTGTGGCCCGTAGCGGTCTCCAATCTGCCGACGAATGTGAATGTGCTGCAGAGCCAGCCACAGCAACAGTTGCAGCTGCAGCATCAGCAAACTATCAGCCCGCAGCAGATACAACGGCTGAGCAATCCTCACGCGATGAGCGCCACGGCGGGCGGCATGCTGATGGGCAATCAGCTGATCATGAATCAGCAGCCAACCAACTTTGGCAACCTTGCACAGCCACAGCAGCAACATCAGCCTGTCCAGCAAATGCAGCAGGATCAGGCGCAGGAGCAGCTCATGTTCCAGCAGTTGTTGTTGCAACAGGATCAGCAGCAACAGCAGCACAATCAGCTGTTGGCTAGTCAGATGCAACAGATTCAGCCGCAACAGGCAAATTTCCAGTTGAATCAAATGAACCAGCAGCCACTGCAGATGATGCAAGCGCAGCAGCAGCAGCAGCAGCAGCAGCAGCAGCAGCAACAGCAGCAGCAGCAACAGCAACCGCTCAACCAGCCGCAATTTCAGCTGCAAGCGATGCACAAGCAGCAACAGTTGCAGCAGCAAAATATTCTTGGGGACTTGGACTCGCAACAACAGCAACAGTTGCTTGCTAGCTTTGGTCAGCAGCAGCAACAGCAGCAGGACAATTTCTTGAATCAGTTGCAGGTCGCCCAAAACCCACAGCAACAGATTCATCAGACGCAACTGCAACAACTGCAGCAGCAACAACTTCAACAGCAACAGGTTTGTATTTGCCATAAATTCTGAAGGATTAGAAAACACCACGCTTACGGTCTGCGTAGGCAAATAAAATCAAGTATAAGTCTTTTACTCCAGGATCGGATCATTCAACGAGTAAAGTCCTCTTTCTTATTAGTCTTATTATTTGTATCATTTACACAAAACATGTCGGACGTCAATTCTGTTTTGTAATTTGATTTATAGGCTAGGACTTTTTTTATTGCAATGACGTAACCTGAATTGTATGTGATGCGCAACACCATCGCTTCATATTTGAAACCATACAATATTCGTGTCATTCCCTTTGTGAACCAAATTGTATCTTCAATGGCACAGCTAGGTGAAGGTATAACTTCTACACTCGACAGAACGAATATTATATATAAAGTTTAATACAGAGACTGCGTCATCGTATATATCGGAGGAAACCAAACATGCATTGAAAACTCGAATAGCAAAAGCAATGAAAAAGAGAATGCAGTGATAAATGTACATATGACATGATACTTCCAAACGTTTCACTGGAACAGTGCGAAAATCCTAGACTTCGAATCACATTGAAATCAACGATTGGTTTCCTAAATTTTTTATATCAAACGTACAAACAATAGCAATAATAAAAAAGAGAGTATCAGTCACTCAAGTAAGGTAATCCGATTATCCAATGTGGAGTCAAAAAGGATTATGACAGAAGATGCGTATTTAAGTGGGAGGTCACAAGAACGTATTGAATTGCGTATTGAAAATTGTCTAAGTAAAACGCATAGACAGTCGACAACTCGAATTCCTCTCAATCACGCGAGCTTTCGCGCTGTCATGATTTGTAAATAACTGTCTAGCAACTCACGTGTACTGAGTATATATGTATATTAATGTTTATAAATTTATCTAAAAAAGCTTTTTAAAAAGGTTGACCGATCTGCCGACGAAACGTTAAGGTTGAAAAAATAAGTCAATAAAATCTGACTCGTAGTTCATTTTATTTTCTTACCCTGATCAATAAGATAATATTATATTCAACCAGAATAGGCATAAACTAAAAATTGAATGGAACATAAAAAACTTTGCTTTGACATTTTCAGATGAATCAGCAACTGATGCAACAGCAAGCCGAGTTCCAATTGCAATTGCAGCAGCAACAGCAGCAACAACAGCAGCAGCAACAATTGTTGCAATCGTGTAGCCAAGCACAGTTCCAAACGCAAATGTTGAATCAACCTGTTGATACGATGCAGCAAAATGGTCTGACCGTTATGAACGGCATAAATGACCTACAAATGCGTCAGCAACAGCAAAGAGCCGCCGAGGAATTGGCTGTTAAACAGCAACAGCAGCATCAACATCAGCAACAGCAGCAACAGCAGCAACAGCAGCAGCAGCAGCAGCAGCAGCAGCAGCAGTTGATCCTGCAAAATCAAAATGTACAAAGGCTACAGGCCAACAATCAGTTTCCACAAAATCAAATTTCGTATCAAATGAGGAGCTTCGATCCGACGAAGCCGACGTCTATGCAGCAGTATCAAACGACCCAATCGTTGCAGCAAAATCAAAACATTCAGTTCGCGCAGCAAAACACACGTTCGTCTTGTTGGCAGCAGCAACAGCAACAGCAGCAGCAACAGCAGCAGCAACAACAGCAGAACAACAGCAATAGAACTATAAGTGTAAATCAAGTGCAGACTGTAAACTGTAATACGTTCGATCGTGTGCCTCCTCTACATCAGCATATGCCTCAGGATAATGTCTGGTCGGAAGAAGTGGCCAGGAAAAAGGCCAAGACTATTAAGAACCCCTATAAAAAGCAAAGGCAGCATAACTCGATCGAGATTAGGAGTAACGTGAATAATAATCTCGATCTCGGTTTGTCTGGGGATGAGTTCTCTGACAAAACGAATTCGCAGGGTAAGATACGAAAAACTTTATAACTTATGCGCACAATCAAGCATGAACATCAAAGTGGAGTTATTAAAATTTTAATCACTCCGTTCATCTCTATAAAAAATTGCAATAAAACGAAATTACATGTAAAGTGTTGGAAAAGTAATAAAATGCTAATGAACATTTGTCAACAGGTCCATCGTTCCTGGAGGATCCAAGCGGCTACCTCGCGCAGCAGACGGCTCTGCTGAATAGTACGATATCGAGGCAAACGGGCGTAACACAGCCTCCGTATCTTCCGCAACCAAAGCCTTCCTCGCTCGCTAGTCCCACGTCGATGTACAGCAGCAAGAACAATCCCACATCGCCGGTGTTCGTGCACAGCTCGATGACGCCTAATTCGGCTGGCAGCGCCACCGATTCCGAAGGTGGTAGCCCAATGTCTTGTCAGAGGTGCGTCACAAGTGCAGACACGCAGTCCTTATCTTCCTCCACCTCTACACATGATTCCTATAAACAACGAACTGAGGTAAATACAAAATATTCTACAAATTTCACATGTTCTATCGGACGAACCAGTTAAACCATTGGCTTTTCTTTTTGCCAACAGGTGCATAGGCATCAGTACTCCCTCCATTCAGACTTGTCTGACGACCCAATATCTTCCACGTGCATGCAGCAGCAAAACTCATGCCAATCCCATCAAGTCCAGCAACAGCTGGATACAAGACCGATTCAGGGTGGCACAGTCAGTACCTCGCATGGCTCACCAATCGGCACGAATAGTCCGGCTAATTCGGACACCCCAACCTCGACCAATATCTCACAGCCAGCTACACCACAGAGTCTCATATCCTCGCAACCGTCGACACCACATGCCTATTCACAACCCGCTACTCCGCATATGGCTGTGCAGCAATCGAATCTCAATGAGCAAAGATCAGGAACGCCTTCGGTTACTACTTCGGGTACGCAAAATGATCCTTTATCCGTTGAGAGTCAAACAACATCAGCTAGCCAGAAAAAAATGGATGGGTACGTGTTTGTCTTTATAATATTTTGCCTGCAAATTGGCTGGAACTTGAAAAGTTATTATAATATTTTCTTACAGATTTCAAAATCATCCGCACGGACCTAATCCAACGAGGAGTTTAATCACCACCATGGCAAGTGGCCACACGGTTAGCAGTAATACCATTACATCCGTCTTGGCAGGACGAGCAAATACCGCGACAGTTTCAATTAACCCAGCTGGTGGCCAAAATAAACAACAACAAAATCAACAACTCCAACAGACCATGATTAATCAAGTTCCTCCTTCGTCTATGCCTATTGTTGCTGCGGCGTCGTCAGCTTCAATGCCTATTATTAATATTCAACAGCAGCAGCAGCAGCAACAACAACAACACCAAAACGTGTTAGCAATGGCTCAGCAGCAACAGCAACAGCAACAGCAACAGCAGCAGCAGCAGCAGCAGCAGATAACGAATGTAAACGTGGCAAAGTCACCGCTAGAGATGGTGCAGAGTGTCGTGAGCAGTATTCAAGTGCCTCAAGTTAGCAACACCTCCAATAATCAGCAACAGCAGCATCACCAGCAACAACAAGCACAACAAGCTAACGTTCAAGTGCACAATGTTCTAACATCGAGCGGTGTTTTGAAGCAAGCTGCGACAGGACAAGGATTACCGCCTGGTCACATTTTAGTTTCGAGCAATGGTCAGTTGATCATGGCTAGCACTGGTGGTGTAATGGCTCCACCACCGCCAAAGATTAACTCAATGCCACCTCTATCAGTTTCGCCAATGGTTACTAATGTGACTGGCACAGTTAGTCAAGTGATTCCTGCGGTGGCACAACAAGTAATCGGTCAGCCTACAGTGCTTGTTAACACTATACAAACGCCTGTGATAATACAACCAGGAATGGTGATGGATAGCCTTGGTCAGAACGTACAGATACCACACTTGACTGTCGCTGGTAATGTTATTCAGAATGCTCAGAGTATTATCGATGCCTCGAATAACCATCATCAACAAGAGGTCGCGAGAAACGTTGCTGCAGCTGTTGCTAATCAAAATTTGGTACGTTGCTTTTCGAATAAATCAATTTTATTTATTAAGTGCAATATGCGTGACTGACATGAATTCTATTTTACTAGGTTGGTCGACAAACACTGGCTCCGGAACCGACAGCCGCCAAGAAAAAGGTCTATAAGAAACGAAAGAGTAGCACGCAAACAGTCGCATCCATGCTACACATAGCTGCCGCCTCGTCCAATCAAAATGCCGGTGTTCTGATGCAGAGTCATCAATCGAACTTTGCTCAGCAAAACTTCCAAGCTCAAAGCTTAGGTGGGCCAATGCTTCAAGCACTAACGATTGTTCCCGGGAAAAACGGTGGTCCCGCACAACTGGTTATGAATGGCCAACCCCATCAAACGACATCGCATTTCAACACACAACAGATAATCACCAATGCGCAGCCCGCGCAACAGATCAATTTGTTACAGCCAGTTAACCTGTTGAATGGAGCCACCGGTATGGTCCAAAACTTCCCTACCATTCAGCAATTTATCGTCCCCGGCCTTGGCAGCATGGTTATGTCGGCTGATGGTACAGCGACGTTGCTTCAAGATACCGGTAAACTTTCGCTTTTACATGCGCAAATTAATGAAAATTGAAAATAAACGTAAAATCCTTTATTTTATTTAGGAAATTTGGGTATGCAGTTGCAACTGCAAAACGTCAATGGCCAAAACGTTCTGACGCCAGTTCAAAATCAAGCGAATATTTTTGGACCGGCTCAGAATATTTTGGCAGCGGGACCAGCCGGTATGGTGATACGGGCGCCTCAGGCGACCGGTGGTAAAATAATTCAGGCCCAAACTCACAATCCGGGTACTCAATTTATTTCGCCAAACAGTGGACAGTTCCTCGTAAACGGCACGACGTCTTTCGGCAATCAATTGAATCCAATTGTCGCGAACGTCAGTCCGAATCAGCAAGTGACCTTCAATACGACACAGGTACGTTTTTAATCGTTCGAGTTCGAGAGACAATTAGACAGTAAGACTTGATAAAAAGGAACTAAATTTCTTTATTTAGGTGCGGCCACCTAATATTCAAGGTCAACAAGAATTCATTCAGATGAATGGCCAAACGTTAATGGTGCCGTGCGGTACGACACAGAATCTCGCGACTGCGGTGTCTTCAGCGCAGAATCAACAAAATACAACTTACGTTCAGCAGAATACGACGATAGTCCAACAACAGACGACTATGGTGTCGAATAATCAGATCCCAGGACTTCAAACGACGGGAACTAATGCGTTGCCCGGCATCGAACACTCAAGCCCGGTGAACGTTGATCAGCCTCTCGCCATATTGAGTGCTAACATGGTGGCGGTACTACAATTTTTCATGATTACATTTGAATCGTTAAATTTCCTATGCGATTTCTTTACTTGCAAATTAGACAAAAAAATAATACTTAACTTACTATTTAGGAAAAGAACCCCGAAACACCTAAGAGCAACAATCATTCCGCACTTACTGAGCAAACTGTTGATCAACAACAACAACTGCAACAGCAACTACAGCAACAGCAGCAATTGCAACAGTTACAACAGCAGCAGCAGCAACAACAACATCAAGTTCAACATAACCAGCAGGTGTCACAACAGTTGATCTTGGCTAACGGCACTACGATAGTTGAACAGATGCCACAGGATCAAGCGGCTGCAGCTGCTGCAGCTGAGCTGATGGCAAGGCATTCAGTGTCAACACAGACTGCTGCGAATCAAAACGCCGCACAATCAGTGCTCATGAGGCAAGGTTCACCACCGGACACGACGACGCACAGTCCTGGGAATAGCCAAAGGTCGAACAGCCCCGCCGTGGATACAACCACGCACGGAGCTGCTTCTCCACCGCCTCCAGCCAACACGCGGCAGCAGTCGTCTTCAACGGTAACGATTACGTGTTGCTGATTCATTATGTGCCTTTTTATAAATGTGCTAACCGTGGTGCGACGATACATCGGGTGAGCAATAAAAAAGTACTGACCGATGATTTTTAACAATTCTGTGCAGCCGATGGTCCATTGTGTATCGAGCAGTGAGCCAGACTCAGGCGGCGACACGCAGCTAAACTCGGAGGAGTGGCGAGGGGGCGTGCAGGCGGTAGCTAGTAGCGGCTCACAAGTCAAAGAGGCTCCACTGGGGCAAGCTCCTACGAGCGGTGGTCAGCCACAGACGCAAATGGTGAGCCCACAGCCACAGACGCAGCCAGTGGCGCTAGGGCAGCAACAGCAGCCACAGACGCAGCCGACGAAACCGACGTTCGTCGAGTCGTCGACGGTGTCAAGCGGCATGCAGGTTGGTAGCCTCGTAGAGCAGCTCGCTGCTACTGGTGGCACCCGGCAACTAACCCTTACAGACACCACCACCCACCAACAATATCATCGTCATGAGTTGGCCGATACGACACACCTAGATAACACTCACCTAGAGCCCATGGACACGAGCACAACATCACCTAACCATTCAATTCATTCAGACACGATCGTTATTGCGGAGCGCATTAGCGAGGAGCTGACGAGCGGCGACGATTATGTCATTAACAAAACTGTCGTTAGGGAACAGCAGCATTCCCTCGAGCCATCCTTTCATATCCATCAGCAACAACAATCCATGCTTATCGATAATATTGCTGATATTGACACTAGCGTGTCCAATATTTTTGATCCGCAACAGCAAGTTGCCGCCGCTGCTGCTGCTGCAAGTGGTGCTGGTACCACGATCGTGCAACATGACAAGTTTTTCAGTGTCGGCATAGCCCCAGGCTTGTATCCGCATTTGTACAATTTCAAAGCCGATCAAAGCGAGCAGCAGCAGCAGCAGCAACAGCAGTCGCAGCTTGCTGTGGCCGTCAATATTCAGGAAAAGCTGCAGTTGCAACAACAAACCTATTTCAGTCCATTCGTTTATGATAATTCCGGACTTACTAACTATGTCGATGGCGTCGTTGAGCTCGAAGAGGAGAGCGCTGATTCCTCGGACGATGATGATGAGGAACTCTGAGATCTGGAGCAAACGTTGCTCGAGGATTTAATAGCTTGCGAAGTCTAGCACTCGAGTCACTTTCCTTTTCTAATAGCTTTAAAAGCTTACTCACTGATGACTATATATATATATATATATATATATATATATATATATAATTCGAAGATCTCTTTGTGATTCTAAATACGTAATAAACGAACACATCACTGTAAAGTATTTACGTATTCAAGTAATGCTATGCATATATAGATATCGATGAAAAGCTGATAAGAGTTCTATGATTGAATCTTGGCGTATTTTCGTTTTTAATTAGTATATACGAGAGAATGCTCATTTTAACTGTAGAGAATCGCGACAATTTAGCACTAAGTGTTCAATTGAATATTCGATCCAGGGTATAAAAGCGCTTTTGTTCTCTTCGAGGCTCAACGTTCAAGAGACTTCAGAGAGTTCTATTGATTCCAGTGATTATTAGAACGCTTAGCGGTTAAACTGTTATTTTACTATTTAACGTAGTTTGTAAGAGAACACATCACTCACTAATTGGCCGCTCTGAAGAGCTGTCTTTTCAATTGTACATTTTCGTAACAATGAATTGTATAAACAAAAAAATATACATATAAATGCTTTGCTAACCGAAAATATGTTTGCCGTACTTGACCTTACGTAGCTTTTTTTGCCGGCTAGAAACTCACCGAAGTCTCTACCACAGTGATTAATTTTGTAATTAGCTTGTATTTATGGTAATGATTAATCTCACGATGATATTTGCGATAACCGATTAGTATTATTATTGTTTAATCGTAACAAGCATAATCTTATTCGATAACTATTGGCTTACAATTGGCAATAATGTAACTTGTAAATGTAATGATTAAATTCGAAAGCGTGTCTCGAATGCACCAGTTATATAAAGAAGCAAAAGAAAAGACCCAATAAAAATAATCACTCAGATATTAAAAACAAAAACGAAAGTCCTTTTGACTTTTTCAAAATTCATTTGACAAACAAACTCTGTTGGTCTCCTAATTCTATAGAGCATGCTTGATAAATTTCCAATCTTGTATCAGAGTTGAATCTATCTTTCTTTGTAAGACTGTATAGTTGAATTGCATGAATCTGTCGAAGAGAACGTACGATTTGAAAGAAAATCACGAAGGTTGAACGTACGTCTCTGTCCGAGTGCTATATTGATAGTGACGGGTTGGAAAGGAGAAAATGAAATGCAATTGAAATGACAAAATTCGATTGATAAACGCATGGAAGAGTGTGACTTAGCTTAGTGCTTTTAAGTTTGACCGAGTTCCGTAATTTGACAGATGTTAGCGAAGCAGGCCGACGGTGCTATGAGCACAGTGCAGTGCGAGGGCAGGGGAATCAAGCGTAAGCTGGACTCCATCCACGCAATGCATTCCACTCTGCATGAAGACCAGGATGGTCAGTATTAGCATCGAACCAAAAACAAAAACATTGAGATTGAAAAACAAGCGTTTCCATTGCTCATCTCTTAATCTTTCCTCTCAAAATCCGTTTCATTCAGCAACAACGTCATTTTCTTTTCTCACGACGCGCGTAAATTTGTTGATCTTCCTCCACGATCTGGCTGGATGAAATTTATGTTTGGTAAACGAGCACTTTTGATTTTGGAGGAAACGGTCGCTCTTGCTACCATTATTGCACTTGGCTTGAACAGCTTCGACAAACAATTAACAGTAATAATAATCTCATTGCTCTTTTGTTGCTTGCTCATTTAGTCTCAGTCGTCAGATCTCATAACTACACTTTCCACTACTAACATCTTTCTTCTTTCTCATACTAACTGTCAGCTTTCAAATGGTAGTGAGTCATGTGCATGTCAACTTTCTTTTTATTCACGATAACAAACCTGATTTTCATTTTTTTACATAAAATAAAACTTACTGAACTAGATGGTATATTATATGTGTTATAAATAGAGTAAGCTATGTCACGAGAATAATTGACGTTGATTAAGGCTAAAGAGAATAAACTGTAATTTTTGTTCCTATTGATATGCGAGAGAAATGAAAATGCACGCATTTTCATTTCTAAAGGTAGGTACATTGGCTTTCATTAAATAAATGCCTTTGCAAAATGAAACTAATTGGCTGTCAGGTTTGTTAATAAATCCGTCACCGTAATCACAATGCAGCACATCGTCCTTTATCTTCATTAAATGTCAATCGTCTAATTTACGAACGAGACGAACACTCGTGTCAGCTACAATTACTTGATCGCATTCATAAAAGTACATTGAGATGAGCTAATCGTCTGATTACGACTGACTTTATACGCGCAGGAAATTTTGAAAAAGTATCCTTTTCGTTGAATTGTTGATGAATATACATATAGAAATACTGACATTGTGCTAATTGTAAATGCAAAAGAATGAGTTTTCCTCTGCGTATGGAAAACGTTGGAAAGCATTGTAAAAAATCATTCACCATCGTTTGGTCTTTCTCCAAACGATCATCATATTTATGGCTCGCACATTGTAAATATCATCAATTAATGTGTATCACTCATCCATCTGGCAAACAAATCATGCATTGCGTGGTTAATAAGAACACCAAAAGAGCAGTGAACCGACTGCGTCTTTCGTTAGCTTTGGAAAGGGTTGCTTTACCTTGTCATCAATCGCCCGCGTTAATTGTGGAGGATTCAGTCACAATTCACACTTGAGTGAGCACTGAAGACAATCGATCAGTTTTCAATTGACGTTCACACGAGATGTGTTCGCTGCCAGTTCTTACTCAAACATTGCAGCTTTTTAGCGCTGGCAATCGAACATCGTCAGCGCTAAGAAGCAACAATGAATCGCGCAATTAATGATTGAGCAGAGCAATCACTTGAAAAATCGAACGCCAAGCAATAAAAAGAAACAACAGCAAGTAGTACATTATTGTCGATTTTTCAAAAAGACGCTCGTAGCCCCGCGCTAATCACCCCCAGCAAAACCATCACCACCATCACCACCATCATAACCAAAGCAATTAAAAAAATAAGAAATGAAAAATAAAAAAGCACCGTACCACAAAAAATCATCATCCCTAACATGTGTAACCCATACTGAATCGCTGAAAACCCGCCGCAAGCAGAATCAGCAGCACCATCACAACCGCAACGACAACGACAACAACAACCACAACCTCAACCTCAACCTCAGCCACAGCCACAACCACAGCCACAGCCACAGCCACAACCACAACAACAACGTGGTGCAGAGTCTGCGGATGATTCGACCGGCGCGAAAGAGACGAGGCTGTTTACGGTCGGCGAAGTCGTTTGGGGCTGCGCCCGAGGAAGCGCCGCCTGGCCCGGTAAGGTCGAGGCGCTTGGCCCTCCAACGTCAGCACTCGCTCAGCCCGCCTCCAATGAGCACGATCAGCCAACAACCGTGTGGATCCGCTGGTATGGCGCACAGCGCGCGACCGGCCTCAGCCAGGTCGCAGTCAAGAGCCTTAAGTCCTTGTCAGAAGGCCTCGAGGCGCACCATCGCTCACGAAAGAAGTTCCGGAAGTGAGTGTTGTGCTTTTCTCTACCGCCCTCGCGCACCGAATCGCACCCCCTCTCTGCGCAGAGAAAATACCTCATCGATTCGATCACGTATTTTCTCTCTGTCGAGACGAGCGCGACCACCGAGGCCCGCTCGTTGCCCTTGCGCGCTGCTTTCTTTTCTTCTTCTGTCACCAAGCCTTTTCATTGACAAACAGCTCGCAGGCTTCAATCTTATTACGGTATTGCTATCGAGTGCCTTGTTCTGTTCGTGGACCCTTGCACAACCCGTACCACCGTCCAAAATGCACTTGCCAATTTCAAATTACTTTTATTTCGTTTTTTCTTTTTTCTCAAATCCTCCTTTGTTTTCAATGCTTACTTTTACTAGAATGTAAGACTATATAGGTATTGAACATGTCGCCAGCGAAGGAATGTACTTTTCAAGTGAAATTAGCAAACCAACAGCCAATTACTAACAAAAACATTCTCAAAGTTTTTCGGACTCGGAACTGTCTAGCCATTGTTTATCTTGAGTAACATCCACATTCAACTATCTCGATGTCTGCATGTGCCTAGCTGTAGAACTTTTGCGATTGAGTATCTTTTCGTCTACTTTCTAATGTGTTAGTTCAACTTTTTTGCAACTTTTCAAGTGAAAGAGCGAATTAACGATATCAACGAATACTTCATTTTCATAGATTGAGAAGCAATCCTCAGCGAAACTTATTTTTTCATTCATTCATTCATTTATTTATTTTTTCACTTTGCGAACAAATGTTTGTTTTGCAAATAAATAAGAGAGAAACCTGAGCATTCCTTCAAGCCGAACGTAAATTAATCTTCTGATTTACTGTTTTTTTACTTTCAAACGACCCGCTGCACCGCCCCTAGCGCACCAACTAGCGATAAAGCGAATAACGGCTTAACCATCTGTAAAACCTGTTGCTCTCCTCTTTCTAGAAGTCGTAAATTGAACACACAGCTGGAGAATGCAATCCAAGAAGCAATGGCTGAATTGGACTCGAAACCGAGTTCATCGTCAAGAGCAACGACAGCCACGGCAGCGGCGGCACCGGTGACTCCGGCGACTCCGGCGGCTCCGGCGGCTCCGGCGGCTCCGGCGGCACCAGCAACGTCCTCGGCAAAGCCCGACGCAGTTTCGATGAGGAGTCGACATGTAAAACCAATCGCTCCAGCGCCGCATCCAAAGCCACAGCAGCCGCCGATAACTACTCGTACGATCGGTTTGAGGAAAACGCCAGGGCGCAAGGTGCCCCAGGTCACTCTCGTCGCCGTGGCCGCGCCCAGAGGCAACACCTAGGACTCGTTGTCGCTCTCCTCGTGGCTGAGGAGGCACAATCACCTCACGATATTCCGATAGACTTCGTCTTCTTTTCGTTCGGTTCTTCTGTCGAGCGTTCTATAGCCACTAATAATGTATATCTTTCTGCCCTCGCTTTTTCATCATCGACTTTATTTTTGTACATAATTTAGGCCTAATTGTTAGTTTCTTAAGAACAGATGTGCTCGTTCTTTTCTTTCCGCGTGTCTTCAATGGCAGTTAAAGATCTGAGCACTGTCACGATGAAATTGTACATAATATACATTATTGCGGATGAGAGCAAGATGATTTTTTTAATCTTCGTTCTTTTCATGCCGAGAGTTAATTATTGGACAAACTGTCGAAGCTTTTTTTATGCGGACTTTTTTCTCTGTCAAAGTCTATTATATATATATATACTAATGTGTGATTAACATTAGTTGTTTTTGCCTGTTTACGATTAATACAATATTATTGTGTTTGAACATTTATATTATTTAAGTCGTTTATTTATTGCATCGGAGCATAAAAAAAGTCTATGACTTATTTTACCAATAGTTTACGGCTTCAACGGTACGCCTTACTTTAATTTTCGGTGACCGAACGACCAACATTTATAAAGTATATATTGGATCAACAAGACTGTAATGCTTGCATCAAACAATTCAATCAAAGGAATTTTTTCGCTTATTTGCCGATATCGGTATAACTATCAAAGATACAATCAAAAAACAATATTCCATTGAAATTTTATAAATTTGTTGCACTTTCGTCATCGAAATTTTAAGCATCATTCCAAAAAACAAAAAAACAAAAAAGTAAAAGAAAAGAAACACTATATGCTACGTGAGTTTTGGTAGCTCGTCGCAATAGGAATTAGAGAATCAATTGTTTGGTGCTGTAATCGCTTCTTCATAAGAAGCTAAAGAGAAAAAAAATTAAAATACGATTAACTTGTAAAGAGAGATGTTGTATAAAGAAAAAAAAGTTTTAGAAAAATTTTATCGAATCGGCTGAGTTGAGTCGCGACTGAAAAACGAAAACTTTTGTAAAGAAATATAGTTGTCTTTGCATCTTTTGAAATATTAATAATAATGATAAATAATAATAACGTAAATGAATAGCGAAATGTTTCACTGATAGAAAAAATGTATCACATTTATTCAAAACGTAAAAAAGTCTATATAAACCAGTGTAGCTTTTGATGGCTAGATAAAACGACCTAAAGCAAACCAGTGATATTTTTTGCCATCAGCATTTTTAATTTGCTCTTCAAAGTGATCTGTTCTACTTTGCTTGACTTAATCAACGTACAATAGACAATAAAGAAAAAACATGGAAACGAGCATAAAAAAAATGATTAAAGCTTATTGATAAATTATATGAGTGTCTGTAAACCGAGAAAGTAAATTGAAGGTGTAAAGTTTTTGCTTACGACTCCGCAAAGCTTCGTGTACAAATGGCTTCTTGGCGATATTTGCGTATCGAGCAAAACAGATTAATAAAAAAATTACGCAACTTAACAGTAAACGGGTTTTCAAGATGTCTTAGTATTACGTCTTACATGAGAATAAAAGAAGATAAAAGAAAAAAGGATCTGTACATAAGTCGTAGATCTTAGTTCGCGAGCGATGTTATATTATTACCATTTATTATATTACTATCTCCATCTTTATAATTGTACCAGTAGAACGAGAATTCTTATCAAAGTAAATCAAAAGTTAAAGAAATCCAGTGAAATTTTAATGCTAGACTACGACGATTTTTCTTACTACGTCATCGTCTGAGTATCGACTATGTCGATTTAGTTTTTAATCATTGATTCCTATTTCGTTTCTCAGATAGCCTAAATCAATAGAAACTTGTACTTTAATTTTACAAAGCACTCTAATTACTGTTCACGTACATACGAATACGTGAAAAAACACTTTTGAGATAGTTTAATTTTATTAAGTTTTACGCTTAAAACGTATCACATATCATCGATGGTGATAGTCGACTCAGAAAAGTTTAAATTTGTTATAAATCGACGTTTTTTAAATCAACAATCAAATTATCGATTTTAAGCTATCAATTTTTAAAGCAGCAGACCCAGTAGACGCATATGTTTATTTACGTTTTTAAAAATCAATTGTAATGATTAAAAACCGGGGGACTGAATCAAACTTTGTAAACTTTCCTTAGCTTAGGGAAACCAACTAAAAGTAACTAATTTTTTAAAAAGACAAAAATTCGTACGTATGTGTACCTTAGCAGAAGAATTAAAAAAAATAAAAATAGAACAATAAGAATCAAGTGTCTATGTATATTTTTTCCCATGTCGTATGCACGAACAGAACCGCATTGATACATTTTTATCGTTGATTTTTACACATGTATGGGCGAATTGTATCGTAATCATAAATAAAATGGTTCTACAAACGTAGACGAGATATTTTACAGAGTATGTATTTCCATGACAGCAGTTTTTTAAAGGTATACAAAGCATATACAAGGTAATCAATCCAAGCGTCAGCTTTTTCAAGCCAATGATATGCGTCGAGCATGAACATCCCAAATGCGGTTCTGTCGTTGTACCTTTTAAATAAGCATTTTTAAAATGGGAACACGCTTTTCAAAATAAACAAGAGGAAACAAAATAACAAAAGTATAAGGAGATACACAAAATGAGGGCTTTCATCGATGCGTTTTCGCGTTACTAACGAAATGTTCAAGCAGAGACTTTGTTTATAAAAGTGAGAAATCTTTTTAAGGGGGCATGTAAAGAAAATAATTAAGCGAAGGCGCATCATCAGAGCCTGAACGACGGTTAAAGAGCAGGGCTTTACATGAGAATCCTATAGTAGCGTTTAATACACGAAAAAATAGGTTTAAGAGATGGTATACAGTTGCAAAAGTTCATAAAAAATATATTAAACTTGAAGATCCAATTAACGGTGAATGACGCGAGGCTTTAGTGAACTTTTAAATGTTCATAATCTAGAAACGCAGTGTACATAGAATCATAACGTCTTTATTCCTAAAACGAAAATGCGCATCATACCATCCATTAATCGTACTAAACATTACACGAATGTTTTTAATCGCGTGATGTGTGTGTGTGTGTGTGTGTGTGTGTGTGTGTGTGTGTGTGTGTGTGTGTGTGTGTGTGTGTGTGTGCGCGCGCGTGAGAGAGCTGATAGTAAGGCGTAGAATTAGATTTGTAGATGCAAATGCCAGCTTCATAATCGATTTTCGGACTATGTCATTATTAAATATTTTTTTCTGGGTTTGGGAACAAAAAGGATATCATTAAAAAATAAAGATTTTAAAGATAGCGTATCAACGAGTTCACGTTTCGTTCCTAAAAACATGTACGGAGGAGTCATTAGCAAAAGACATTTAGGCAGTCGTTGAAAACTTTATTCTGCGTCTGTTTAAATAAATAAAAAACATTTAATAAGAGAAAAGTTATAGAGATATACATCGAAAGGAAAAAAGATGACGTGTTTAAGATATTTCAAAAGTTTTACAAATGCTATTTGAAGAAACGGCAACATTTTTACAGATGGAATGGGTTTAATGTTTCACTCGATACAGCCGGAAAAGGATCCCTTATTATAGTTTGATTGCAAAATAGACAAAGCATTGGTGATGGATGATTACTAACAGAAGATAACTTTTCTATTTACAAATGAAGTATCAAAAAGTTTGAATTAAAAAACCGAGCATAATGAATGATCACGATGTGTGAAACGTGAGAATGTATTTTAGATTTAAAAATGGTGTGCTAGAAATTGAAATTGAAGCGGATTATTATTACGAAAAAAGGACACAAGCATAGTCCCCCATCTCCAGGCCCCTCACGATTAGGTGACAAATTAATAAAGCTATACATATATACATACATTATTTAATATTTGGCGTAATATTTATATATAAAGATATATATATATATATAAAGATATATATATATATATATATATATATATATATATATATATATATATATATATATATATATATATATATACATATGATATATATATATACATATGAATTATTAAAGAGATAAATGATAAAGCAAGGAGAAAGTAGTCAAAAAATGTACGGGCGGAACAAAAAAAAGTAGAGTATGTGTAAGCGTGAAATGAGAGAATTAAGAAAAAACCATTTTGAAACTGTGTAGTGAGAGAATGTGCGAGGCTGACTGGCGGTCGAAGAAAAAGTTTGAAGCTATGTGATCTATTAAAAAAACTAGTAGCTTTTAGCTGTAAAGACTTATACTTTATTTTGTAAATTTTGTTTATACAATGTTTGATCGTCGCATAATACTATTGTATGTGAATACATAAGTTAATAAATGATTAACATGTGAAGTTAAAATAATATCTATGACTTATTACTTGCATAGTATTGCTAATGTTTTTTTGCACTTATTCTACGAGTTTTGATTTTGCTGTCTGTATATTTGTCTTCATATTAGGCTCTCTAAAGATATGCCTTTACGTTAAAAACAAAAGCAAACATTTTTTTATGTTTCATCAACTTCTTGGCTATCTCATAATGCATTTTCTTGCATTTCTATAATATTTTCACTTTGTAGTCCTCTACAAATAAAGTCTAATAATATGAACGTGAAATGAAAATGATCGGTAAAAACGTTTCGTTGCCTCTTTTCAAACTTGAATTGCAGCTGAGCTGAATATCATATAGGGATTGGATTCTAAAATTGATCTACAATTGGTTACTTTGCTGCAAAATCATGGCTTGGCTCAAGCTGAGTTCCGCTCGGATCTGCGGGTCAGCTCGCGCTGTCGAGTTTTCTTCAGCTTTTCGAGCTCCTAAGTCAGTTCGAGTTTTCAAGTTTCAAAGCTATTTGCAACAAGTTTTCATTACTTTTTATGAGTCTTCAATCCTACCTGATTGTTCAAGTATATTCAAATGGAACAAACCATTTAGAATTTTAAGATTAAAAATCAACGATGATTTTTTATTAAAAATTAAGCTTAGAAAGTTTGGAAGGGTGCAGCTTTAGCTTGAAGCTTTTGCAGAAGCCTAATGGAAGCGTAAGCAAGTAACGCGTTTCTACGAACATTGCCAACAAAATTATTAAAACGATGAGGTACTTGAATAAACAGACGATACAAAAATTGTGATTTTTTTCTGTATTTTATTCGGTTCTATTGTAAGATTTCCGATTTAAATAGATTTCCATTTTAATACGAGCATTAACGAGGAATATGATTGAAATTTCTTCTCGCAGACTTTTCATATTTATTGCATCGTTTATTGCATATATTAAACTCATTGGTACTAATATCCATCCGGTCAAGCCTTCCTTTTGTGAAAATATATTGCCAAGATTTTTCAATAATGTAATACAATAGACCAACATATAATTATGATGTACGTGCGTTACTCACTTAAACATATTCGTTTGCATGCTCGTTCATTTCCTGAAGAATGAATGAATTGGACTTGCGATTATAAGACTTGAATGCAATAGGAAATAATGATGTTTAACTGGATTACCTCCATCCTGTTTGGTCAACAATAATATGCATGATAGAATAATAAATATGAAAATAAAATTACGATAAGTCATTTTGGAATAATCTGATGAATAAGCTTTGGAAGATGCGTACAGAATAAACGTAAAGCGCAGGTATCAGACTACACGCTTGTTTCACGATTGTCAACTGCGTTTTTACTCGACAGTATTATTCGGGTCAGTAGAACAAAACGCCACCTCAAATTAAACTTGAAAAAATAAATGCAGATAGATCCGGCGAGCGCGAAGAGAAAACTAATTGCGAACGAAATAAATATTGTCGTGAAAGCTAATACGGCTAAAAAGAAGTGGAGTAATAAAACGAATGCACTTGGAGTTAGCGTAATGTATCATAAGTAGGACACGATCGGCGAATGTATGCTCAGTCTGGCCTTTCAGCCAACCGATGCGACCCGTTTCTGTCGTGGCTGCAGGCGTGAATCCAATAAAATGTTAGGCAAGGCAAATTGTCCAAGGGGAGAAAGGGGAGAAAGGGGAGAAAGGGGAGAAAGGCGAGGGCGAGGCATTAGAAGAAACAAGAGACAGCACAAGGTTGCGACGGTGACGTGCCGAATGTTTGTCTCACTCGGTCAACTAACTTGCGCGTTCGTTTGCTTTAGCTTCGACTATTGTCGATTAACGTAGGAACGTAAGGGCCCGTCCAAGTCGCGATGCGTTACGCGAACGGCCGCTTTAATTTTGCCTCGTCTGCACCTGAACGACTTGGATAGCGCGACGGACAAGGTAAGGTTAGCAAAGCGGTTTACTGAAAACAAGCGAAGCTCGAGGCGCAGATTTGATCGGGCCGACTCCGAGCGTCTGCCGGCTTGAATGGTCCACGACTGGCTTCCAGCTGGCTGGCTAGTTGTCCGTCACGGTCAGAGGATGAGATGGCCTGGAGAGCCCAAGCCCACTCTGAGATACGGTGGCTTCCAAGTCCGCGAGGTAAAGTTCGCAAGGCGCGGTGGTGACGTGGCGGTGTCCTGGTGGACGCGACAACGAATAACGGCGAGATTTTGGAATGCTCGAAGGACGACTGTTCGTACGTGTGGAACGTGAGCGCGAAGGAGAGGTGCAGGTGGGTTAAGGAAACGGCGGACTGCCAGCTCGGCTCCTTCGTGCCCTATCCCACTCTGCTTTTCTGCGCTTTCGGCACGGAAAGCTCCTACCTGTTCGCCGGCGGACTCGCGCTCTTGCTTCTTTGTCTGTTCTACTGGTTCCTCGTGCTCGGGACTACCGCCGACAACTTGTAATTGCACCGGTCCCGTGCGAGTCCACAGCCAGCTCGGGCTCTGCAATCTCGCCGCTTCGCACGCCAACAGCTTCTGCCCGTCTCTGGCGACGATCGCGTCGGCGCTGCGCCTCTCCGAGAACGTCGCCGGCGTGACGATTCTGGCGTTCGGCAACGGCTCGCCCGACATCTTCACGTCGATAGTGTCGAGCGAAGACGAGCGACTGATAATGTTCACGGAGCTGATCGGCGCGGGCGTTTTCGTGACCGCGGTCATCGCTGCTTCCGTCGCAGCTGCCTCGCCGTTTCGCCCGCAGCCCAAATACTTCCTACGCGACGTCGCCTTCTACGTGTCGTCCGCCTGCTGGATCTGCTACATCGTGCAAGATAACCTGGTGCATCTGTGGGAGGCTGTCGGTAAGTGGTGCTCGCCTTGGTCAGTGAGTTGGCAGTTCAGTGTGGAAGCCTAAGGACCGGAGTTGCAGGCTGCATCGCGATATACGCGCTGTTCATTCTGGCAGTGGTGCTGACGCAACGCCTGGAAGCGAGTCGCGATCGCCGCAACAGTTGAGTAGTCCAGCACGTTTCGAACGCGCGCCGCGAAAGCTCATCGAGGCCCGTGCCGCTTCTGCTGCCCTAGAGCGCGTGCCAATGTTGCGGGACGAGCTGGCGCTGCGTGCATTCGTGGCCAACAGAGGTAGGGATTCGTTGCCCGTGCCGCAGCTGCCGAGACGCACTCGCGCCTACGACGTCCAAGCGAAACTCGGTGAGCGGAACAACAAGCTCTCTTGGCTGTCGGCTGCGGTTCCGTGCGATTCTCTCTCTCTCTCTCTCTCTCTCTCTCTCTCTCTCTCTCTCTCTCTCTCTCTCTCTCTCTCTCTCTCTCTCTCTCTCTCTCTCTCTCTCTCTCTCTCTCTTTCAAGCCTCTTCTTTCTCAGACGTTGCGATCAGCCGAGAAGTCGAACGAGAGCGTAGGCTGAGTGGGCGATCGGCTGTCGGAGAAAGGACGTCGGGGCCGCGGTCGCACAGACCTCAAGGCCTGTTTCGCGAATTCTTCTACGACGTCAATCCCATCAACGCGGACGAGTGGCGCTCTTCGAAGCGCATACTCAAGCTGATACTGGTGTTGCGCGCCCCGTTCATGCTGATGCTGCAATTGCTTGTGCCGGTGGTCAACGAGACAGCCGAGAAACGAGGCTGGTCCAAACTTCTCAACTGCGTACAGCTCGCGGTGACGCCGATCGCCGCGCTCTGCATTCTTGAAAGTTAGTTCTCTCAGAAGATTTGCTCTCGTTAAGCATTCGACGTAACAAGCAAAGCGATTCAGCAATTTCGTCTACATTCAAATTTTTGGCTCTGCTAGTGTGGGACAGGAAAGTCGGAGCGTTGCCCCTCTTGGCCGTTTGCTTCGGCTGCACTTCGTTGCTCGCCTTCGTAATTTTCTTGCTCACCTCCGCCGACAGAATCCCCGAATATCACAACGTAAGACGAAAACATGTATTTTCCGCTGGGAAACCGAACGCGATATTTCCATAGATTTGGAATTGGCGAGAAATTTCCGGGTCCAACTGCAGCAAAAAATAAAATGTGGAGTAGAGGAAATAGCCGGAAATCCAATAATACTGGAGAGGGAGCAATAATTGAACGTCTTGGTTGTGTTAATGAACGAGCGTGTGTAGGCACTGGCGTTCGTGGGATTCCTGGCGGCAATGTTGGTCGTTTACGCGGTTGCCCAGGAGGTGATGGCGGTACTGGAGACCGTGGGCTTCGCTAGCGGTATCTCCGATGCTATGCTCGGCCTCACCCTACTCGCCTGGGGCAACAGCATCGGTGGTAAATATTCGTCTCTCCCTGCCTCCTCCTCTGTTTCGTTTTCGGCCCTGCGCTGACATTGGCAGATGTCGCGAGAGCATTGGTTGCTTGCATCAACTCCCAAGCACGCCTTTATTTAACACTGCTTTGCGTCGCGTTGCATTTCACGTGACTATTTTCCGTTATCATTCGTCCACAGATCTCATCTCAAACGTAACGATCGCACGCAAAGGATATCCTCGGATGGGTTTTTCGGCATGTTTCGGTGGTCCGATGTTCAACACTCTGCTTGGTTTGGGTCTAACCTTTGGCATCTCGGCTGCTCGAAGCGACGGTCTCCAAATACCAATTCGCACGAGCGATATGGCACCTGGTTGCCTTGCCTTTTTACTGTGCTCGCTTCTCAGCAGCCTCATTTACCTCGCCGTTACTGGCTTCATTGCGAGGAGGTCTTATAGCTACCTCTTGCTTAGTGTTTATGCGGTGTTCATGCTCATCAATGTACTCAGCGAATGGCACGTTATACATCCCTTGGGTACCGATCATAGACCTGACAATGTTCTGTAAGACCTTCTTTGAAAACGACTAATAAAGCTTCCTGAACCGTTGGTCTTTCAATATTTTCCATTTCATCAACCACAAAAAAAAAGACGCTCAACAAAAAGCAAGAAAAGGTGAGCTCCTTTCGAGCGCCGAGAAAGAAACGAAAGAGAGAGAGAGAGAGAGAGAGAGAGAGAGAGAGAGAGAGAGAGAGAGAGAGAGAGAGAGAGAGAGAGAGAGAGAGAAAGAGAAAGAGAAAGAGAAAGAGAAAGAGAGAGAGCCCTTTGAAAATAAAACTGGCAGCGCGGTAAAACAAAAAGAGATCTTCCCCGCTAGCAGAAAAAAGTGGCAGAAGAAGGAAAAACGAAGAAGATGCGCGCGGGCATAGTAATATAGGAGAGAGCCAGAGAGAGAGAGAGAGAGAGAGACAGAGAAAGAGAAAGAGAACGTGAACGTGGTCGACGCTTGGCAACGCGAATTAATTCAAAAGCGAGCGCAAGTCCGGATTAAATTAAACAGAAGAAAATACGCGCCAAGCTGACGCGCTTGATATTATATCAGAATTATTTCCAGGCCGTGGTAAAGGGTTGAACTGAAAACTTGCCTCTGTGTTTTTACGTCGTCGCGTGTAAACGGTGAATTCGCTTTATCTCTCGGTTTTTAGCTGACTTGAAATAACTCGAAGCGCAGGATAGGCTTTTTCTTCTCTTGCTTAATCTGCTGGAAAAAATGTTTGACAAGCTGCCTGCCGAGAGCTCGGCACAAGAATAGTTGATTTTAGTCAATCGCGAATCACGTCGATGTTTTTGACGCTTCAAGTTTTCCATTGAGAAATTGCGACGGCCTCCTCTGAACTACTCCAAAGTCATTCGGTCATAAAGCTAGGGAAAGCGCAACGAACGGGCATCGAATAAGCCTCGAGAAATTCCGGTAATTGGACGACATCGTGACGAGAAGCAACAAACGTAGAATCGCACTTGTGCAATAGCCGACTTTATACCAGTCGGCGTCCTTATATTACTTGGCAGAGGGAGCGAGCGAGCAGCGCTCTCGCTGTCGCCGTCGCCGTCGCCGTCGCCGTCGCCGTCGCTCCTCTTTATCTTTTCGACACGAAACTTTCATTTGGTTTTCATTGCCTTCACTTTGGCCGGCTGTCATCCGTCGGCACTGAAAAATCTTCATAAAGCCGGGAATTCGCGCCGGGCAGACGAGCCAACTTCTGGCCCTGGCCTTCGCCTATCGCCCGCGATACCGTCTGGATTTAACTTTTCATGCGGCCGGGACAATCGAGTCTTTCCATTCGTTTGCCTTCGCCACTTTGCTTCGGTTTTTCTCCTCTCCTATAGCTCCTATTTTGCCCGGAATTCACTGTTCATTCCGTGACTATAATCAAACAAATAGCTTTTCGATCTACTCTGTTTTCGGCTACTTGATTCTTCAATAGCATCGTTCAAGTGGAAAATGAGAAAGACGCGAGGCAAGGTATCTTAAGGAGAGTCGGCGCGCCTGTCATCTTAATAAAAATACATCGTGTTTTTCCGTATGATCTTTATTTATCATAGGTCGTAAGCTTTCCTGTTCCAAGCATTTTCCCCTGAAATTCCCTGAGATCGTAAAAAATCCTACGTGACAGCGAGAAGATACTTGTAAAGATGCGAGTTTTTCTCTGGCAAAAGGCACGGAGAAGGAGGGACGAGAGAGTGGAGTCCGATGAAAAACTTGGATGCGAACAATGCGCTCGCGCGTGCTTGCGAGATACGGCGCTTAAAAAATGCGCACCAAGAAAATGCACTTTACTCTTGCGTTGGAGTATCCTTGCGCGCCAACTTCTGGCATACTTTCGAATAGCGTAGCTCTGGCAGCGCTGCAATGGAACAAACAAAATTACGCGTCGCATTTGTTTAAGCCTGATGGAACAAATCACTCGAATTCTCAGTCAGAGGGCATACCCATTGCATTTTCAATTCCGCGTATACTTTGACACTCTCCTCCCTTCTATCCGACGAGATTGTTTTGCAGCTCACATCGCAACGAATAATTGATTAGCCCGGCTGTCTAGTTCGAACTCTGCTCACTTTTCCTAATAATAATATTCTGCAGGGATATCAACGATTACATTTCTCGATTGTACAGTCAAGCTCGAATATTTCAAGCTAGTTTCGATCATTTTATTAGAATAATTGATGGTCCGTAGAGCTGGTTCGTAAGAGCAGCAGATGCAACCGGTGGCTGACAACGCAAAAAGATTATAAATTTCAGATCCAATGAACGATCCGACAGCTGTTAAAAGGCCTCGAAAAGAAGAATGACCAAGATGCGCTTTGCTCAGTCTCGCTATAATTCCCCGTCGCATTGCCAACGGGCATTGTTGCATTAAAACGTCGGATTAGACTAACAGGAAAGTTGGACAAATTGCGGTGCTCGAAAAGTTACGTGCAGGCCGCGGGTTTGCGAAGCGCAAGCGAGAACCCGACGACGCGCAGTTTGTTTAACGCCTAAGTGACGAGGCGAGTGCTTTGCAAGTTCTGGCACAACTTTTGCTATGCCCCATACAGCTGCATCGATTCCAAACACGCCGACCTGCTTGCATATCTTCTTTGTCTCTTGTCTGCTTTGCCTATTGACCTATTGGTGGATCGATAAGGTAATATTAACGTTGAGATTGAAAGTGTACAGCAACTCAGTCTCGAGGATCTCGAGGATTAAATACTTGTACCGAATACACGTGCCCTCTCATTTCTCTGGCTTGATCGTCTAAGTATTGTAAGGATTGCAGTCTCATATGCTTGTGCAAAAAGAGCTTTTCAGACGTCGCTTCAATAAATATTAGTTAGAAGCTAACAGCATAATATAGTGACCTTGCTTGATAAATTCTAATTCGAATCGATAATGATCGGCCAAAAGAACCGAGCTATGCCTGGCAATAGAGCACAATCTTCTCTAAAGTTTGGAACGGGCACTTGAATCATTGGAAATACCGCCTTCGGAAAACAACACGGGCACTTGTGTCCTGACACTTTTATCGTTTAGGCATGTCTAGCTCGTTTCACATGCACAGTTCCTTCGTGCACAGTTGTTTGTTCCAAGTGAACGCGATGGATATACGCTCGGTTCTCTAAGAACAGAAACGTAGCAAAATACGACCAGTTGTCTGGCCAAGTGCAAGATTGCCATCGCAAACAAACGCGTCAATTGAATTTCAAATATGAATGAGAGCACTTTCGACGAGTTGAAAATGGAATAGTCGTTGATGGGAAAACGTGGCTTACAAACTAAAACTCGCAAGTATCGTCGGATCGCTGAAACGCAGCGAGTGCCGGTTATAAATAAAGTCCATGAAATCGGTAGTCGGCAGGTCGGACTGATGAAACACTTGTGGCGATGCCTCAATTTCGACGAACTATGTTAATGGATGGATAGCCGGAATGAGCAGCCCAGCGAACTAATGAGCTGACTTGGAATCGCATATACGCGGCGATAACAAATGCGAAGCTCGCCCGGGCGTAACAGTCGAATAAATCCGACGTAATTAGGCAGGGCCAGGCGCAAGTATGACGCTCATTGGTGCGTAACAGATGCGAACTCGCCGCGGCGGCGACGATTAAGGATAGATCGAGGTCAATCGCGAAAACTAATCTGATGCAAACTCGAGCGTTGGGTCTGCTCGCTGCACGCGCGCCACCGAGAGCGAGAGAGCTCGCGTTATTTGCAGCTGCCACTAGAGCCAGAGCACTCCTCTTGGATTACCGAGCAAGTCTCGCGCAAGAAGGAGGCTCGTTCGATCGGGCTTGATTGGATTCGTCGCACGAGGCGGCCTTGGGGAAGCTCGCAACAGCCGTGCCTTCCACCGCGAGGCCAAATACCTTTTCGACACTTTGCATTGCTGCTGTCACTGCTAACGGAAGCCTGGCGATGCTCGGAGGCAAAAACGCGGGCTCGAGCGAATCCCCGATGGCAGCTTCGCGACGCCGGCGAAGCCGCTAATTAATGTGCCGACTGGCAAAGCGGCTCTCCTCTGTCTCCGGAGGATATATATCAGTTGTGCCAAGTTTCGGCGAAAGTTCGCCCTCGAGAGCGCGCGCCGACGACGAAAGCGAGAGTGGAGCTTGCTGCTGTTTGCTTTCTCGCTATTATTCATGGGCTCTCGGCGCCAGAGCGACTTTGCACTTGCGATCGCTGCTTCATTCACCAGCTGATGTGTTCGTTTTGCATTTGCACTACAGCCTCTCTTTCAGCGGTCCCGCCGGCTTAACGATTGCATTGTTTTATTTCCGCTCGGTCGTCTATTCTACTAGTGCCAAGTCATCCGAGCAAACGCGCCGAATAATCAGTAGGTGTTAGCTGCTCATTGTACAAATCAACTATTTGTCAACTGCTTTCCACGGCGGCTTATAATTCAAAGCAAATCCTTATGCTTTTCCAACACGATTAGCTTTCTTTTATCAAATTGTTGCTCTCATTGAAAATCAAAGGGGAATTTCAAATTCAAATTAAGTGTATTTTAAATTCCGCGCTACAACGCGCGCACTTTTCATCTCAGCCAATTGAAGCGCTTCCCGCGATTTCGCCGTTTCTCGTGACAGACCGTGCATGGTCGTTCAAGTGCTACTCGTGTTATTGTTTGCTTTCGAGTTGTGTTTTTCTTTGTGCGGTATGCTTGAAAAATTTTTTCCATACACGAACCAGACAAACTGAATTATTTTCTAAAACGGAGTTGTATCGTTCATCGTGGTAGATTGATCGATAAGTAACTATTGTCAATTTAACCTGCGAATTCAAACGCCGACATATGTAAGAATCACTATTTTTCAATCATTCATTTTCATTACACAACAATCATTATTTCGTCATTTTGATAGTTTACTAGATCCACAATTTATATATTCTGCTATAACATTCTAAACTGACAAGTTTGTACAGTAATTAAAAATTTATTTATTTTATTCATATACTTATTTTTCTAGTTTTATATTTTATTTTGTTATTTCTCGACAATATCATTTCATCTATGACATGCATAAGACTGTTTAAAGTCTTATATTCCTTGTCTTTAATTTTGAATAAGGGCTCGATGACAACAGATAGCCATTAACTGATTGTGATTAATATATTCTAGTAACAGTCAAAATGCCACCAGCAATAAATCAGTCAGCCAGAATCTTTGCTGAGATTACAGCAACATGCGATGCTCTTGGGTACAACGATGGCAAAACTTTTCGTTTGGACAAAAACAGTCTTGGTAAAAATTTAATATATATTAAATGTCTCTTAGTCACTGCAATGTTTTATTAAAAATTAATTACAAATAAAAATTTTTACAGAGGCATTAAAAGATTTGATTAGATATCTAAGAAGAGATGATGACACTCATTCTATTCGTCGTTATTTGGGTCAGACAAGAATAGTACAAAAAGATTTAATAAAAATCTTTGTTGATCATGCAGAGAAGACTGAAATTTGGAATGTTCTTCTGAGGTACCTAAGAGGCTGTTTCCATGGTTAATGAAATTTTGAGAGTTAAATAATAAATGCATTTTTCTTTAGATTACTTATTAATCTGACAAGTCCAGCATTAATGGTTTACAATGAAGAACTTCCATCAGAAAAAGTTACAAGAGGTTACTACTTGCAAATTCTGTCACATTTACAAGAGTACAAAGCTCAAATGACCAATGATGCTTTTTGGGTAGTAGTAAATGAGAAACTGAAGCAGTTATTGATAATTGTAAGTTGATTTAGAATCTCTTTATTTAAGAAACTAAAGCAGTATTACCATCAATTCTTGTTTATATTTTAGGATAGTAATGAACGTGGAGAAGACAATGAGATGTTACTAGATCGAATCCTTACCTTAATACGTAATGTACTCAGAATTCCAGGAAGTGATTATGATACTAGAACAGACAATGATACAAGTGTGCACGATCAGGTGGGAAGTTACTTTTGAATCTGCAAATTTTATAAGCATGAAATTTATATAAATAATTTTCTTATTTCCAGGTTTTGTTTACTCTGCATACATCTGGAGTATCTGATATGTTGATCTACATTTCAAGTTCTAGTAAAGAGCAGCAGTATCATATGCAAATATTAGAAGTAAGTTTAATTTTTGAAAAATCCAATATTATTTAACACTGTATTATTTACGTATAACTTTTTCAGATCATAGCTTTCATGCTACAAGGACAAAATCCCAGTAAACTTGCTCAAGTCGAAATGCTACGAAGTGCAGAGGAAAAGGAGGAGGATGAAGCTAAATTGATGATTGCCAGGCAAAAAGAGAAAATTAACAAAATGGCTAAAATAAAAAAATATGCCGAATCAAGGTAAACTCGAAAGCTACGAGAAAAATATTATTTTGATCTGTTTCAAGTCAAATATTTTTATTAGAAATAAAAGAAGTAATCGTATATTTCCATACGAGCAGAGCGCGTGTTACGCGACTACACTAAATTATTCCTGTATAAAGGATGAAACCTCAAAAAGAGATGCTCACGAAAGCTCGTTAAAAGTAGCGTCGAGTCTCGCGCGCTTTAAATCTTTTGCTCGTGCTCGGCAAGTTGAATTGTGGCTGTATAACGCAGGCACAGAGAGGGTGGGAAGAAAAAAAAAAAGAGAAAAGAGACATGGCGTTGACAATTTGTGTTTCGACTACGAGTAGCGATGCCAAGTAATTTTCGCCTTGAAACACGCATTCGTGTGGCATAGGTGTAATGAATATGACCTAGATCTTGTTGGTGTAGCATGAAAAACGTCTGGTGACACTCGCCTCAGTGGATGCTTTTATCCACTCGCCTGTGTTTGAAGAAGTCGGTCGTATACTTTTCTTTCTCCTTCACAAGAGTTATCTTTTCTGGTTTATTCTTTCTTGTTGTTACAGATGATGATACAACCTATTGTGCTTATCTCGTCCGCGTGAATTTTAACTGCTTCAGATGGATTTACACTTCGTTTCTTTTTTTCTTTTTGCCTCGTAAGCGCGTTGCTTAAAAAGGGAGGCTTTTGTTTTCCTATTGCCAGCGCTATTGTCTTTATTATTGCAGGGCGTTGCGTTTTGTATTGTATTTTCACATTGCTTATTTCGGGTAATTATATTTGTGTTGGAATGTTAAACTAAAATGCATTGTAAAACGTTGAATTTAATTTCACTTTAAAATTTTTAAAGTGGTTTCTGCAACTGTCAAAATGAAATCCCGACATTTTATGAATAAAAAAGCTTTTCTCTTTTTTTCCTGTCGGTTACTGTTCTGGCAGCTCCATTGTACGCGCAAAGTGATAAAAGCCCAATATATTAATTGTTTCAACTGTAATGTTAGTCTTACTCATATTTCTAATATTTAAAATGAAAAGTAAATGCTTTTATGTATTTTTCTCAGGCATTCTAGATTTGGTGGCACCTATGTGGTAAAAAACATGAAAGCTATAGGAGAAAACGAAATGATCTGTCATAAACCTTATAAGAAGATCGAAGATTTAGATTTCAGTGTGACAAAGGTATATAACTGTATTAACTTTTGTTCTGAAGCCTCAAGCTGTTGTTATTTTTCAATTTCTAACGCCATTCATACGTCTCAGTTTTAATTTGGTGCTTTAATTAAACTTCTGGCATGTGTCATATTTATGCAAATGAAAGTGGTGCAGTTTAATTAAAAGATACTTGAAAATATAAAAACTGGCCAAGCACGCTTGCGTGAATTTATGAATTAAGTGTCATTGGTTGAGATGAGAAAAAAAAATGCGCGCCGCTCGAAAGGTCAAATTTTTCAAATACTCGCATCTGCTTACTTTTCTTTGAAAAAGCTGCATTAATGCACGAGACAGGTAAATACATAGACAAATGGCATGCATTTAAAAAAGAATTTTGTTGAAGCCTTTTGAGAGGTACGCGTTGCAGTTGGTTTGGAATAATTTCTTTTTATAGAATGGTTAACGTAAACCTTGTAGAAAATATTTCTACCGAGCTTCGAAGCGAATCGCGAATGGAGACGAGGAGCGAGTAAAATAGGTAATTGCAAGGTAATGCGTAAAGCTGGCATTCTCCGAAGAAAGCCGTCGAAAAGTTGGGCGAAAGCAGCTTGAACGAAACTGCTTAAAAAGTCGTGATCGAGACTCGCAGCTGTTTCAGGAGAAAAATTCAATTAGCCAGCCACGAATATACGCCTGTTAATTGGGGCTATCCCGGCGTAATTAGCGCTCGTTGAGCTGCGCACCTTAACTAGGTCAAACACACTTCTCTCTCTTCAACCTCCCAGTTGGATATAAACGTTTCCTTCCCGAACGGTAGGCTCGTCAATTGGGCGAGATTGAAATCGAATCTTTATACTCGCGTCACACCTGACGATAATGGATATGCATCTTTTCTTTTTCCGACTCCGGGCGTTTGCGAGTATTGCGCTCGAATGCTCTTCTTTTGCTCGCGCGCAGATTGGATTTTTACGGCTATGAGCGCTAAATTAGTTTGCATATCAAGCCCCTTTTCTACCTCCTTTTTCTTTTTTCGGTGCAGTTTTTTCAAGCTTCATTTTCTAAATCAAGTTTCTTTTGAGCTAGTCGAAGATAAGAAGAGAGGCGAGGCGACAAGTCGCTTTCAAATTTGTTCGCAACCTGTTCAAGTAATATTCAGTTTTAAACATGCAAGCGTGAAAAATGATCAGATTTCACTCGATTATTGATGAATAAATAACATTATTTGAATGGATTTCTTTATCGTGGCAACCTATCAAATTAAAGTGAAAGCAATCTCGCCAACCAATCGACAATCGTCAAAAGGTTTACAATATTCGAATTAAAACATAAATCTTTCAGAGAGCACTCAATCAGCAAAGGTGATGATGTCCATCGAATAAAAATAAGATCTATCGTTCGGATGACTGGCAACCGTCATTCGTCACAAAATACATCTTTGCGAAAACTATGAATGAGCTAATGTGCGGATCGTTCATCAGTCGCCGAGACTCGAAATATTTATATGAAAGTGAATCTATGCGCGAGCCATTGATTAGGTAAATACGAAAAAAAGTGAAGAAGCCTTTCTTTTTTTCATTAGACCGGCGTTTAATTTAAAAGCCATTCCGAAAAGCCGACCAATTACTCTTCAAACTCTGCGAGTATTCCCTGGCAGAACATTCTAGTGCGCAGCCCTATAAAATGCGGGAGAAAAAGCGATTGCCCTAAATAAAAGATGGCAGCAATAAAAAAGCCATTTCTCTGGTCGTTTTGCAGCGAAAGACGAAGAAACACAAAGCACGAGGCTCGGAAGGAGCGAGCAGCAGCGGCAAGCAAGAGGAGCGACTGTCAGCGTTGAGCGTGCGTCTGTTTCTCAAGGAATTCTGCGTAGAATTTCTGGCAGCTGCCTACAATCCAGTGATGAGATACGCGCGCAGCTGTATCAACGGCAACCAAGCCGACGCGAGCCACTACCTCTGGGCTCTGCGCTTCTTCATGAACTTCAACCGGCACTACAAGTTTCGCGTGAAATACGTCAGGTGAGCGAGAGCTCGTTTTCCGCGTCGCTGCCTTTTATTGGCTCTCCTGGGCAAGAGAGAGGGGCTTTTATTGTGCCAGCTGAATTAATGCTCTTGCTTTTTCCCTTTTTTTTTCCAAAGAGGAATGAGTTTTTAAGTGAGCTTTCGTGATTATTGCTGACTTTGTCCGCGAGCTTTCGGTTTTCGCTGTAGCTCCGCTTAATTGTTCTTCCATGTACAGGCTGCGTTTGCATTTGACTGAGTAGATTTTTGCGCCGTCGAATCGTGACGAACAGAGAAAGCAACGTTCCGATGGGCTTTGTACGGGCAGTTGCCGGTCGAACGTTCAATTATTATCATTTATTGTGTTTTTCAGTGAAACCATATCCTCTGACGTATTTTACACTGTGCAGAGGCAGATCGAGCATCATTACGATATGATTTGTTCGGACAAGAAGAAAGCCACGTATTGGGCTATCAGGCTTCACTTGGCCGTCAATGCCTATCAGGTACTAGCCTCGCGGCATTTCTTTGGCACAGTCTTTCCATGCTATTGGATAGCAGAGGAATTTAAATTTTTAGGAATTGCTGTATACGCTCATCGAGATGGACAAGTGCGCCGATCAAGGAGTGAGAAGCTCAAGCCGTGTAATAATGAGCAACATTTTCTACGTACCCGAGTATCGCGAGACAATATTCCAGCAGCTTCTCAATTACAACGAGCTCACCATGTCAAAGTGAGGATCCACACCCTTTTGCTTTTGCTCAATTGTTCGGCACTCCGATCCACAGAATATCCGACGATTAAGGGCTCTCGTGTGTACGGAAGCGTTATTCTGATTGAAGCCGACTCAACGAGTTGTCGCGAACGAGGGAAAATACTCTGTTTCTCGCGAGACAGTGTTTGCCCAAAGTTTTATCTACCGCAAACACATTGGAGAGGCTCAATCGCGCTTATTTTGCCCGCTCGCTTTCTCCTTCGTTTCGGCTTTTTTCCCAGTCGTCGTCGTCGTCGTCGTTACCGGAATAAACAACTCCTCTCCTACCTCGAGTTTCCGCCCGACATTGGAAAACACGCGAGAGAGAACTTTCCTCGTTGCTCTTTATTTTGCCCTCTTTTTTTCCGTTTCGGTTTGGATCTCTCTTCTATTTCAGATTTCTCTTTTTTTTATTTTTTTTGTTCGTGGAAAGGGATTGAATGGGCGTAGAGAAGTCTAATAAAGAAATAGATTTATCTATGACAGATTTGGTGCTTGGTGGGTTTCCGCCACCGCGTGGTTTATCTTTTACTGCATGCTTCTTGCTTTATGAAGTTTATGAAACTTTGTCTTGTACGGATTGCAGAGACTACTTGGTCGATTTGGTCACGACGGTGCACATTTTTTTGAAGATGCTCAAGAACTTTTGCGATAAGCAACGTCACCTTGTCGTGGCGAAACCCAAGCGGAACAAATCAAAGAAAAGTTAGTATTTTTCTACCTCTTGTTTTTATTACGTTGTGCGATATCGTTAACACTTTATCTTGCGTGACGTCAGTCTTGAAATTCGTTTTGAATTTCTACATAAAATTATCAAATGTAAGCGAAAAATAGTTATTATTTGCAAAGGGAAGTGTGTATGAGCACGAGTATCTTTTTAATGAAGAACAATGGAAAAGGATAGAATTCACTTTATTGAAATATTTGACCAAATATCAAGCAATATTTGTACATTCGAATAAAAGCTCGACAACAAATTGTTGTAAACTGTAAAATTGCGTAGCGCAAAAATCAGCCTTAGAAAAAAGCGAAATCGATCGTAGAAAATAAAGCCGGTGGCAAGCGAAAGCAAGCAAGGCAAGAATTTACAAGGCTTTAGACAAATAAAATAAACGTTAACAATTCCGTTCACGTCCCACAGAGACAAAGCCGGCGGCAAGTAAGAGTGGAGGTCCACAGCAGCAGGCAGTTGGTCCAGCGCGAAGCTTGGAAGATCGATGGGACGAGGTGGGACCGGAACTGTCGGCCGTTATGCAGCAGAACAACGAGATACCGATAGTGATGCCTTTTGACGCAACGATCGACATACCCGTAGATGAGCAAAAGTGAGTGTGGGGCTATCCTCCAGCTCCCTATCTTTTTCTATTTTCTTCGTGTTCCACTCTACATTGTGTCGACAGACTGGGAATATTATTGGAAAATTACATTGATACTTGTTTCCAATTTTTTATATTTTTTCAGTTCATGCACATAAAAGACTACAATAATTATATATTTTAATAATACACATACGAATCTTTGGTAATGGCGTTGATGTCATAGAATGTAGTAGACATAACGTTCAGAAATTAACTTTCGTGTACAGCAGATACTTTTTTCGTAATGAACATGATATTTTCCGTATATTCAACATGAAACGAGAGATACTAGCGACTCATGATACGACGGGTTAGCTTTCAAGATATTACGTTTTAAAAATACATCTCTAGTATATATAAAAAATATCACTAACATTTTGAATGCAATATAAAAAAAAATTTCGTACTAAACTCCATCGTACTTTTCCTTCGAAGCGTCGTGAAAAAAGGAGGAAGAAACCATTCATCAAATTAGGTTTTTTCGTAAGCCTCATTTTTCACTAGATGTTCATACATGTACGCCTATTCAAAGAAAAATTTTATCTCCAGCTATAAGTTCTCGCGATGTATATATCTTCTCGAAAAAGTATATATAGCGATAGAGGGGGGGGGGGGAGTCAGAGAGGTTTGGGGAAGTGTTTACTCTGGATAATTGCTCGGATTCGTCCATGCTTTCCAAGCAATTTCAACGGCTGCCAAAGGCTCTTGTAACTCTCTTTGAAGTTGCTGCTCTGCCTCGCTCACCCAAGCACGGATACAAATATAACGTGGCAAGTTGCGTCGTTATTTATAGGCTCAAGCTTATCGATCGTTAATTACCGTGCTATGTCCGTTCTTGCAAAAAACTGATGCTTCAACCTATATATTTTTATAACGCAGTAAGCTTACATTTTCATAGGATTTAAAGTATTTTTTCGAATAAATGAATAATAAATTTTTTTGCTTAGCCTACTTTGTAAAAGTCTATATAAATTTGCGTGCCGTTACAAAATGTAATCTAAATTTAAACGATTCAGCTGGAAGGCAAAATGTCGAACAACTCTTTTCTTTTCAAATATTTCGTCTGTGAAAAATAAATATGAAAAAGCAGCTTGATAAAAGAGAGAGATTTGTTAATTGATTAATTGTAACTTTTTATTTATCGATGACAAACAAATAACAATATTTATATAATATAAAGAATCACAAGGTCGGTTAATTTATTAATTTTTTTTGTTTATAAAGGGTTGATGCGATGAAGAGGATTCAGAAACTACTACGTTCCAAGGAATACGAACAGACGGTCGGTCTTCTGCGTGCTGCCAGGTAATACTTTTTTCTCTTAACTTTAACTAGGTAAATTATATAAAAAAGGGAAAACGGCATGATTTTATGAATTGTTTTGTTGATTTTTGAATGGTGCTTTTAAAAAGTTGAGAATGAGTTTTTGTTTCCGATTTGTTCAGTTTCGTGGCTCGAATAGAATAAGTCGAATGATAGCCAAACAGAAATCGTGAATCTCGAGCCTATTGCGATAAATTGAACTGATTGATGAAATGTTGAAAATGAGGATTGAGACTAGCTGTTAACGCAATCCACAAAAAGACATTAACTCTCTCTCTCTCTCTCTCTCTCTCTCTCTCTCTGTGATATGACAACATCATAAAATATCCGTCACTTGTTTGAATCTAGCGCGCTCGGTTAAATCCAGGAGACGTATGTGTGAGAATAACGGAGATTAAATCATAATGAATGCGCTGGCGAGCAATGTGCGTGCGCAGAGGCAAAGCAAGTAGGATGTATTCCCGGATCTTCGCTCAACTCAGCGGTGCTGCAAAATTTTCACGAATATAACGTTTTGACTTTGAGCTCGCATCGAAAATCTCGTTAAGCAATGTCCAGCTAGTGGTGTAAAATTAGAAATTCGCGCGAGGGCTCGTTTGAGGTCCAATTCGCATCTTTCCTACACATACTGCGTTAGTTGATTGTCGGTTTGCGACCGGGCTTCAAGTGTACTTTTGCTTGTGTGTGCGTCTGTGTGTTTGAACCCGACGCGATAATTGCTCGCGGCCGCGACCATACTCTGGCTCTTTTCTCCTTCTATATGCTCACACCTTTTAATTAATATTGCACTTGTGAGATGTTTTTATCTTTATTACATAATTATCCTCATTACTACGTGTATGTGTGGCTGCGCGAAAAACAACTTTACTGTTTTTCAAGTCTTTCTTCAGATTGAAATTCAGAGAACGAATTTTATAGGCAAAGTATAATAAACAAATGTACACGGTGCATTTTTTTCAGACTTAATAATTAAAATTGTGCGTATGTTTTCCTCAGCGCGTTGGTTATGCACGCGAGTTTCATCATTAAATAAAAGTATTTTTTTCGCTCTAAATATTAAAAATTGCGGTGACATAAATTTCGACTTGATTAGTACTCACTTGCAGTAACTGCCACAATTCATTCTGGATAAACGAAGGAAAGAAACATGGTTTTACTCATAAGTCATTGTCTCACATGTAAATTTTCAAATCCAATAAATGCCGTACAAGCCAATGAAGGACACAAGAGTCACATGCGCACCCTCGGCAAAGAATTCGCCATTGAGGCTAACAAAAAGAGGATGAAAACTACGAGAGAGCGAGAGAGAGAGAGAGAGAGAGGAGAGAGAGAGAGAGAGAGAGAGAGAGAGAGAGAGAGAGAGAGAGAGAGAGAGAGAGAGAGAGAGAGAGAGAGAGAGAGAGAGAGAGAAGGCAAAAGTCTAGTAAAGCCTGTGTGGTTGCTCTCTCTTTCTCTCTTTCTCTCGTTCTCTCGTGCACCACACAATGCGGCGCGACGTGAAAATTCCTCGAGTAACTCCCAACTCATTTCTACGTGTAGGCCCCCGTTTCTGCTTGCCATTGTCTCGCGCGAAAACAAAAGCATCCAAAGTAACTTGGTTAATTCTATATAGTGTATGGATATGTTCGTGGGCGTGCTACCTTTTTCTTTTTTTTTTGTGTGTACGTTCGATTTTTCGTCTGGCGTAGATGATTAAACGCGCGCTGTGTCGCTTTGATTTTGTTTGTGTATGACGGATGTGCACGAGATAGTTTGATCTCCGCGACTGGACGACCAGTGGCTTTGGTTTGACTGCGTTAGGGAATGGGATGGCTCGATTGATTTGATTCGGCTATGGCAGCTATTCTATCCTTGCTCTTTGTCGCGTGGATTTGAAAATTGTTTTTTTCTTTCTCTGTGTCGGTCGTGTCTATGGCATTTATTTTGTGGGATTAAAAGGAGCATACAAATGAAAAACCTTTTTTTTTTGTATTTCCTTGATTACGGTATACGCACGTGTTTACGAATTTGTAAACTATTCGCGTTGTTTGTTTATGCAAACGTAATAAAATGAAAATGTTCACTATAAAGAAAGAGCTGTTGTGTAATGATCGCAAAGGATAGTGACTTGAAGCAAAGAAAGAAAGTGTGTAAATACGACTCTGTAAAAGTCAGTTAAAGCGTATCGTTTATAAAATAAGTAAGAAATAGTTAATTATAAGGAAAACGAAAAAAAGTTACGTGAATAACGCATTTGACGTGTGCAGCGAAGCTGCATTGGCATAAATGATTCATCGACACAATGAATAGCAGAGAATTGTAAATAATAGCTGAAAAGCCAGAAAGCAGTTACATGAAATGGAAACTGTCATCGACAGGAATGCCCTGAGTCCTGTGGAAAGAAACGTTCCCTTTTCTGTGCGCATTAGCTGTGGCGCTATGTAGCGTGAATAAAGCGCCAAGATTTTAATGAAGTTATTTGTTTTGATAACTATGGAAGCGAGATAATGCACAAATAGCTCGAGGAATTTGTAAATGCAGGCGTCGACGCGAAAGTAGAGTTTATTTGAATAAAACGCGACTGCGAATGGACGCGCACGGCCAGGCTTCTTTTATTTATCGGCCCAGCACAACGGGGGATTTAACTTTTCGACGAGTGACTCGCATTTTGAATATTCACGCTCAGGCTCTTCAATGTTTTCTCCGCTTCTTTTTTTCCACTCGAGCGTGTGTTGCGAGTTGGGATAAGTTTGCATTGCAATTAATTTGCTTGGCCGCTATGGAGCTGCAAAATAAGGTTAACGGTGCTTGAGAATTGATGTTTCGAATTTGAATTGCAAGCTGCGAAAAACTTTGAATATGCAACGCTCGAGCCTCGCTGCTTTTTCCCTTTTGTTCATTTGTAATTTCGCAGTTATTCCTTCGAGTCCCCTCTTTCCTTTCTTAATCATTCCAAATGTAGTGCATTCAGAACGAAAAAGCACGCCAAGATTATCGCTCGGGAATAAAAAGCTAAAGATGTGTCGGTTGCTGAGAAAGCAAAGCGTACGTCGCCCAGCCAATGGAAATGTTATATAGTGGAGTGGCGTCAATGACGCGGCACTCGACTCGTCGCTCTTTTCCACGTCGCTTCTGTCCGTGCGCTTAACGCCCCGGTAAACGGATATTGTTCGATCGGCTGCGCTTTGCTCGTCATTCCTTTGCTCGTTGCTAGGCACAAGCGTCTCAAAGCCAGGTCGACCTGCGTGCTTTTGCGAGCGCACTAACGAGCCTGAATAATGCGAATCCTCGGCATACTTGCGGCTTTCTCTTCGTTTGATTGATTTCTATCTAGATGCATGTCCACTGGAATGCATTTGCTCGCACGCCAAAATAATAATTGAATGTTGTAATGTTGATTGAAAGCCAACGTCAGATGATGGGAAATTCAATCTATAGGTGCTATCAACTTTTCAAACATTTTTTCTTTCATTCACGCTGTTCCAAGCGCGAGCCATTGTTGTTGTTATTCAGCGTGTAAACACTTTTCTCACCAAAGACGAAAAAAATACCCCGAGCCAACGCGCTGCCACAGTCTCATTCTTAGCGCTGAGAAAGCTTGCTAAAAAGAGACTAATAATGGTGGCAAGTAGGATCCTTGCAGCAGCCAGAAAAAAATTAAAAGTCCGTGTAGAGAATGTAGTAGTGAGGGCGGCGGGAAGCCGATATGAGCTGGCGCGGCGGTCGGCGTCTGGCGTGGAAAGTCACCGGATCCCACATCCCACATCCCGGATCCCGTGGATCCCGTGGATTTTAATGAACACTCCGGGCCTGCTTTCACTTGCACGCTAGTTAGTAAGCCCTTTGCGTTTGCGTACGTTTGCTCGGCGCTCCCCCCCCCCCCCTCTCTCTCTCTCTACGTCCAATTAGCTCCGCGGCAAAAAAGCAGTCGCGCTACGTTTACCTTGCATTAATCGTCTGCAAGTCGCACTTTGCAGCTTATGCACGTGCATTCTAAGACGTACCTCATCGTTTGATTTAGCTATAGACAGCTGGTTTGTAAAGCGCAGTGCCGTGGGCTGGCCCAACTTCGGCAATATCAGCCCGGAAGGCTCATATTTGTCCATGTAGCCGCGCTATTACCAATAATCAATCAACGATATCGATGTTTAATGACATTTCAGTTGTCGCGATTATCAATGCCAGATGCGTCCGTCGATTATTAATTTGCTAATTAGCTTGCTGTGGATACGATTGTCCAGCCCGTTCCGTTGATCGGATTGGCGTAGAAATAACAAAAGCCATCCGATTCCGCGACGACAGAAAAGTGTCGAGAACAGCGTTAAAAATCAAATGATCCCTTTGTCGCATCCTTGGCGTTTTTCTATTTGGCACCTTTCGTAATGTCATCGGCAAAGCTTGCTCGCCAATGGACAAAAAGACGCTGCCGATTCTCTTGTTTCATCGGCGCAGAGAAAAGAGCGACTGTCGCGTGCGGACGACGCAGAAGCGAAGAAAGAGGATCGTTATTTCCGCTTGATTCTGTCGATGATCAACAGAGCTGCGCCTTTTTAACGAGGTTGCCTTATTCTCTTCCATTGTCAGCCCAACGGATTTTCCTGCGCATAATTAGAACGCCTTTCTTACTGTACTTTCCTTACCGATTCCCGATAGAGAAGAGATTTAACGGCTGAAAGTGAATGCTTTTATTAGTAATCCAAATTCACTAGACATCAATCACGCTGTACGACTGTACTAGTCGCATTTTCGAACAGAGGCAAAGCCAATTATCTCCTGTTTCCTCCATTTTCAAATGAGTGGCTTGGAAAAAGGTCGGAAACTTGAAAAGGCTCTTTTTATCTACTCCGTGTGTGTATGGTTGGTTCGTGTCCGTTGACTCGCGTGCCAAAGAAAAGGCCAGACGGAGAGCCAGCTAGACTAAGCTTTTCAATGGCAAGCTTCGCAGTCCAAAGTGCGGGCGTGCATTATTTAAAGGAGCTAACGTGGCTTTAGATGAGTTTTCG